TAATTCCAGAAGCCCCACTGTCAACGCTGGATGTGGAAGTCTCTCAATAAAGGGTGCCATTCCGATTCCGATATAGAGCTCACCATAGTAAATCGAAAGTTTTGCCTAACGATGTCGCTGTTTTCCCAAAATTCTACACGGGATCAGCCACCGTCTCCATCGTGCAAAATTCCATTCCCCGCAGAAAGGAGAAGAAGCCGCTAAATTCAAAAATCGAGGTCCCAGAACCACTATAAACTGGGACTTATTCAATTCATTAGTTGACTGTTGGGAAGACGCCGTTGTCGATAACATCAACGAGGAATACGATCGGCTCATTCAACATCTTCACGTTAGCGCTATGAAAGCTGAGAGTTCAAAAGTAACCAAAAGAGATCTGTCTCTAGAAACACTCCAGCTAATATGTAAGCGTGGAATAGCATGAGCTAGAGACTACCGCCCATTCACGTCCGAACTTGTAAAACAATGCAGACAGGTAATAAAAGAAAATCTTAGAGAAGGAACAGCAGCAGTTCTTCTCTAAGCCAAACCGCTGATGTCGCACCTTATCCTTCGATCACGGTCGAAGCTCTAGGGTTTGATAAAAGTTTTTGGAAAGCCTACCAAAACTTCGCCAATTACAAAGCCAAGATGATTGAACTCCGACGCCCAGACGGAGCACTTCCAGCATCCAGAAAGACCAATCATTCATGATTACTACTCAGATCTCTTCAATAGGTAAGTCCTTCCGCCCTTATATGAAATAAAAGATGATTATGTCGTACCACCGAAAAGGATTAGATTTGCATGCCTTATTCACGCTCACTGGTGCGAATATCTCCAAATGCTCCAGCTGTATCTGCCTACGTCGGAAAATAAACACAACGAACTACTTAGCTCCATAGTAGAGCAGGAAGAGACGAAAAGCTTGGCGAGCTTTGAAAAGCATCGACGATGTAGTGATGACGACAAAGAACACCTATCCCCATGCCCACTTTTTCGACTACACGATTCTTCCTGCGTTAAAATACGTCTTCATTGAAACTTGGTCTCCACGTACGCAGGTTGAAACATCACTTAAGTTATGGATCACGCAGCTGTAAGAATGATGCTAGGCGTATGCTGTGTCAGACAATTGAGGGAAGGGATTTGAAACCCTGGTCTACGTCAACGATCAAAAATCGAAAGTACCGTTCTACATGCCAAATTGTGGAAGTTAAGATGAGCTGGACATGAAATGAGTATGAACGGTAATCAATGAAAAAGTGCCGTTAGTTACTGGTTTCCTCAGGAAGTCAAACGTAGTGCAGGAGGACCACCAGTTCGATGGTCGAGTCCTTCACGAAGACCCTACAAGGAAGATGTATACTCCACACGTCCCATCGCATCCACTGTCGACAAAAGTCGTCCAATTTTCTTTTTTTGGCTTCGTTTGGTGCTGGAGGGTTTTTTGGTCTTTCTCATGAATTTTGTTGAATGCTTGTGTAGTAGACTCTACCTGAGATCGTAAGATGACCTTGCCAGTGCCTTAGAGGTGAAATTATCCCAGACTTTGAAATTGTAAAATTGATGCTAATTTCATGATCGTGGAGTAATGTGACACTCGGTGGGCTTCGGCCGAGGTTAGACCAACGCCTAGGCAGGTCAGACCGTACGCGTAAACAAAGAGATCACAACTACTATGATACCCGTTCACTCTTTAGAGTTAATAGGTTAGATTATATCTGGGCACTAACGCAGTAGCACAAGCGCGATGACGCAACCTCATATGAGATGACATATGTGGTACCCCGTAAGAATTCATTTTGCAGGAACAATATGTACATTCAGTCACACATACGTGGAGTGCTTCGTGGAGTGGAGTGAACGAATGAAAGAAACATTGAAACATTGACCAACGCCGAACTTTTTCTCATTTATCTCAACTTATTGCGAAAATTAAATTCCGTTGGAATATACTGATGGTTCACCTATATCATCTTTATCACCTGTCGTCCACATGATTGTCGACTGCCTCGAGCAAGCGTCAATAAATCTTCCATTCTTCCGTGTCGTGCACCAGAGTAGCCCAATGTGTTCTGATCACTATAGGGACTTAGTGAGCGTAAAATCTTTCTTCTAGTATTTTCTTGAACTCTGACTATCGGATCGGCGGTCTTCCTGCAGCACGTTTGACAACCGAGGAATCCAGTCACCAACGGCACTTTCACATCGGTCGTCCACGCATTACGTGTCCGGTTCATCTTATCTTCGACAGTTTAGCGTGTAGAATGGCACTTTTGATTCCTAGTCGCTGAGCTAGGTCACAGCTTCAGATCTTCCTCACTTGTGCAACACGGAATACCACTAGCATCGTCCTTTCTTCTGCACGTTCCATAACTTGAGTGATGTTTCAACCTGCATACGTATAGACAAAGTTACGGGTGATTGCTGATGGCGTTGATCGATGCAACTAGCTGACAGACAGCCAAAACGAAAGACCCGCATGGTGTGGTGGCGAACGCGTTACTCCTCGGAAATGACAATAGCGCGTTCGTTCCCCACCACAGACACCAGCGGTCTGCAGTTTTGCAGATATTTCAGAATTATAGTAGTTGTATTTCGCAGCATACCCTGTCGTTAGCAAGAATAGGCAGTAAGTAAAAAGGTTAAGACTGAGTCAAAAGCGTTCCTTAAATCAATGAAAGAGGGCAGAGCGGCTTCTTGTACTCTCATCACGATGCTCCAATGAGTCCTGCTACCGTTGGATGTGGTCAATTGTACTGAATCCTTTTCGATCGAAACCCTGTCTGCCCACCTGGCTCTCCTTCGTCCAGTGTCTACCAAATCTGTTTACGATAATACAAGTGAAGAGTTTCTAGACGACAAACAGTGAGCAGATTGGGCGGTAGTGGCGGATACCGCGGAGGTCACCGTTCTTGAAAAATGTCTTGTTGGTTTTCCATTGAAAAGGAACCTTGCATTCTGACATGTAACCTGTGAAGAGCCGAGACAGTATGTTTATGACGACTGGCAGGTTTTTCAGGTGTTCAAACCTTATCTCGTCCGGACCGGACCTGGCGGTGTTCGATCCTCCATCGAACAAATGAAACGGTACGTTAGATTTCCAAAGGAAAAACCGGAGGCGGCCTTTTCTCCTTCCCATGAGAAATGGAATCTGGCGCGGAGGCAAAGGCCTGACCCATGCAGAATTTTGGGCAAGAGCGAAATGGCTTGGGCAAAACCTTCGATTTACTATGGTTTGTTCTATTTCGTTATGGTACTCTCCATTGGGAGACTCTCATGTCCAGCGGTGAGAGCAAGGCATCTGGTTTTGTGAGTTACCACGAATGGTCTTGTTCGTCATGATAAACTCAGGCAACCGCTCCCCCACTTTGTTCCATTATGATCCGTGGGTCCCAATATGACTTTTTTCATACGTTCTTCTCGATCCAGCGTTAGCAATAAAATCTCAAATGATACCTTAAAGAATGTATGGTCTTCTCTGTAAAACTTCTTCAAATCCATGTAGAACACTTGGTCTTCGTAATAACTCGATGTCGATGCGTAGACGACGAAGAGGAAAGAGTTGATGAATGATTTACACTCATTCATCCTCCCAACGGTTTACCGCCTCATCGTGACTGGGTGATGATCCTGAGTGTCGGACTGCGATGTACAGCGGGGAATTCATACCCTGGCAGTGTCTTCGAAGCTGAGGAGTCGGGTGTTCCCACCAGGAAGCCTAGCTAAGAGTAAATCAGTACAACAATACCAAGACACCCCACTGCCCTGGTATCAAAGTCGCATGGTGGTAAATCTCCCTTTGATCCACAAGGGCGACGACTGCTTGTGGTGGTGAAGACCTGGGGCAGACTTTGGCCAGGCTGTCCTCGAGCTTCCAGGGAACCACAATAGCTTAACCAGCAAATCTCCGAAAAATGGAGATTATACTGGGACCGGCACAACCAGTGAGGACGGGCCATTCAAGTATTAAGTAAGCAAGTGAGCGGCTGCGAAAAAAAGCACTTGTTTTCTCAACCTTACACAATAGAATTCCAATTTTATACTTAGGTACATGAACAGCCCGTCCAGGTCTAGCCACTGTGCTTCCCTGGAGTCGCGAGGATAGTGTGGCCAAAGTCCACCCCATATTGTCACTACAAGAGGCGGAGGCCGCCCTTGTGGATCACAGGCATATTTGCCACCATGCGACTAGTTTGATACCAGGACGATGCTGGACCCGGGTCTTGGCTCATTCTTAGTTGGGCTTCCTAATGGAAACGCCGGACTCCTCAGCTTAGAAGGCCCTGCCGGCGAATGTAACCCCCCGCTCTACACCACAGCCTGACACCCATGAACATCTCTTATCTATGATGAGGCGCTAAACCACTGAGGCGATGCCAATTTTATAAAAACCAGAAGTTGCTTTTCCTCACAATATTTTTTCCAAGACTTGTACCTCAAAAAGCGAAGCAATTCAGCAGGCGGAATTCCGTCCAGCTGAGCGACGATTACAGTGCCAAAGTTCTTAAGAAGGATGTTAACTGTGTGAGCACTTTTCCAAAACAAAACTGCAAATAGAGGAGTTGGGCTAACTAAGGTCAGAAAAGGGATTAAAGTCAGACTAAATTGCATTTTAGACAAATTATATACATCGTTACACAGTTTTACTTCGTAATCTACCAAATATTGAATTCTTAAAAAACACTATCATCAAAAATTGTCTACAGGCGTCGAAAAACTAGCACTATCAAGCATGTTTTAATTCTCAGCTTACGTTGTCTCCTCCCAGGATAAACATCCGTGTACTCCATATTTACTCATATTTAACATAGAGACAGCAATGTCAAGTGCACATAACTTCACTTAGCAAAGAATTTAACTTTAGTTTAAGGAGATTGGTAAGCTTTAATATATGAGAATAATAATAGCAAATGAATACATCACAAATGTCTTCGCTGTCAGGATGTCTACTGAACGAGTTAGTATTAATTAATTGATATCAAATAATGATTGATGAATTCAGGTGTTCTTGCGTTTTACTTGGGTTTGCTTTCGGCATCACTGATATGCCTAACCGTTACAGTGTTCTCCGGCATTGGATTCGGAGCTGGTTCATATTCAAAGGCAAAGGATGATGCAATAGCCAATTGCGATCCGTCGAAATTAAATGAAAGCGATACGATCGTAGTTTGGAACCTTCAAAACGGTGATCATCCGTTAGAACGGTAGACTAGGTGAATAATGCACAATTTCTTAACCAAAAGACCAACCTGTGAAGTTGGACCAGACGCTTCCTATTGAACGGGTCCCATAAATTCACCATAGAATCCGATCCTGGATATAAAATCTCTGAGAAAATCTATACAGGTGAGTGCTCTTATCATAAAATGAGCAAACTAACAACACCAAATAGTACGCTCAAAAGTAAACATAAGTATGTCCAACATGCCCTAGAAAGAAAAGCAGTAACAACAAATAAAACTCACCACCAGTAGCAAATGTACCATTTAGAGGGTGGAACGCAAGGGCGTTTACTGGATATATGCATTCAACGCCATCTTCTTTACTCCTGAAATCAGTGGGTGTTTCACATGGAAGCAGCTGACGCACGTGTTATATTTTGAAATGTGAAAGTAATCTAATTTTGATTCCTACAAAGTGATTTAGTTTGCATACCAAATGATCAAATTATAGTTTAATGAAGCTAGATATTGATAAAGGGATAAACCCTCGGCGCTTATCAATCCCTGAGGGTGCGTCATACATTAGACTTCAACAATCATTAGAGGTGAGTAAATGAACATCACGCCCTTACAGTGGCTAACCGATGTATCCAATCAGAGTTGCTATCCTCCCAGACAGGTCGGGTACCAATTTGCCGACCCCAGGAGGATAATGGAGCGCTGTATTGAACCCATGAGCCTTGAGTTGCACCTCTAGCCATCGTGCTACATGCTCCTTTCCCAAATATTGGTAACACGGCATTTCTTCAAATCCCTGGTATGCTATCTTAGTTTCCTTGAATAACGTATCCTACACTCCTGAATTTATCCTGAGATCAAGCGACTAGGTAATACATCACATGCGGTTTGGGTCGTATTGAACAAAATTCTCCATCTTGTAATAGTTCCCAGGATCGACTTCCTATTAACCTCGGCATCGGAATATGTGTCGTTTTCTTGTTCAGCAATCGCGAAATTTTTAAACAGCATACATTTACTTCCATAGAGAAACACAATACAATACAACAGTAGCTGACGTTTCGGCAGTATCGCCTTCTTCAGAGCCGCTTTTTCGTGACTTCCAATGAGGAAGTGTCGTCGTCGTCAACCACATGCGACTATAATCAGCTGTTCTAAACTTCCTCATTGGAAGTCACGAAAAAGCGGCTCTGAAGAAGGCGATACTGCCGAAACGTCAGGTAGTGTTGTATTTTATTGTGTTTCTCTATGGAAGTAAATGTATGCTGTTTAAAAACTTCGCGATTGCTGAACAAGAAAACGACACAAAAATCTCCATCTTTATATTATAATGAGGAATAATGCTAGGACAATGAAAAGCAGCTGTATATGCAGTTTACCTATGCCATACAAGCCTCCAGTGGATAGATTTAAGTTAAGAAAGCAAAGTAGAAGCCATCTAACACTCAAGCAATAACACACCGTTTATAACGGCGAACAACAACTGTGTTAGTAAGAATTTACAACTGTAGAAGCCTTGGCGTAATTCGTCTCACTGGCAACATGGAAGGCATAAGAACCGATTCCTTTAAATAATTCACGAGTCGAATTAGGTATTTATTGTGGAAAACATGAATGAAATGTCACCGTCGACAAACCTCATCACCTACAGTTTCGTCTAATCAAAGTCGTTTTTATTATAAAGTTCTACACGTGACCAAGCAATCGCTTTCGTTCAGCACTAATCTTCTCGCAGAAATCGCCCTTTAGCAAGCCTCTGGAAAAATATTATCGACAGCATCGCTTAGAAAATGAAGAGCATCACGAAGGTAGAGAAAACCCAAAGCATGGATGCTATCTAGCGAAGCTTGTCTGAAACAGCTCTAGCTGATATGCCAACTCCACGAACTAGAACTAATAAGGACTAATGGGCTTTGAATACTGAACGGGTAAAAGAAACTATTAAGGATAGAAGAATAACATTATTCGCTGAGAGTAAGTAAACTAGAAGCACTTTCAATATGCGCCGAGAAATCGTTTTGCGCAATAATAAGATAAATTCCATATTCCAGAACTGGCAATAAAGGGCAGTTGAGGCCATCCACGGCGTCCATTCTGATCTCTTTGTCATTCAGATCTACCTTTCTTAGCTGCATTTCAGGATGAATCCTCATATCGGGTTCTTACAAACCTTTTGATTAACGTCTACACGGTTAGGAAACCCCTGAAAGTATGAGATGCAATTACACCTCTTTTGCTTGATTTAAAAATATCTTCGATTCCGTTGAGATGAAAGTTTTGGAAGTTGAAGAGTTCGTTCCCGCTATACGAACAGCCCAATTGTGCACACAGCTTTGCTTCCAAAATTCCAGCAGTGTAAACGACTACACAGCTCAGACGGAAATTATAAGGTTTTCCAAAAATTAATGTCCGACTTCAACATGTATTTTCAAAGTCGCCTGATGTTAGCTGTGAAAGAATCCTATTAAAGCAAATCTACCTACAACGACTGCACGAAAATCTGGAATTCCGAAAGCGACTAAGTCGTTTAAGGCACTGTCGGTATTAACTTGATTTCCGACGGATTTATCGTATAGAAGGTTGTCAAGACGACTGAAGAAGTTATACCCGGTAGACGAGAGTTATAGTAAGTATGGAAGATAAAAAAATTTTCTTAGGCCGGTTAGTACAACATCTGTATCGTCCATAGTGTCACTTTTAGTCGTGCGTGCTCGCACAAAGTGATTACTTCTTTCGGTTGATCAATGCCAATGAAAAGCGTTGAAGCTTCTGGTGCCTTTCGTCAACTTGCCGCACATCATTTTCACCGTAATCGTTCTACTCGGATTCAGGATGCTTTGATGGATCAAACCATGAGAAACTCACCAAACGTTCAGTACGACCTTCTTTGGCTGCCCAAAGCGTTAAATTCAACGTCGTCATGGCAGAACGGCGTCCACACCCTCATCTTCAAGGTCGAATTTCCCAGGATGAAACTATTGAAAGCAAGATCGCAAGGTGCGTTCGTTAACAATTCCTTAGCCCTATACCTTAGTAAACTTTCAGCCTTTTAGTTTCACTATGTTCAAGTTTGAATTCGCAGAAGTAGATCCACCGGAATTTCTGTTTCGAATATCCTAAGTTCTAACCTTTCAAATTTGTCAAAAATACAATCTACATTAAAACACAATCATACAGAGCGAAAGTGCATAAAATGAGCTTTACAATGATATCTGAAAGCAAAGAACTCAAAAAAAAACTGCCGAAATATGTATAAGGAGGATGAGACCACAAATTCGGCACTAATTCCCCAGCAACCAACATTACCTAGTCAAACCAATCAACGCCACTATTTGGTCTACTTTTATAAGCTGTTCAGAAATAAATGAGCGTTTTTAACTATATTATTTAGAACTTTATGCTTCAAACAAAACTTTATTAATCGAAATAAAAACCATTTAAACTTACATATTTTTGTCAGCGGGAGACAAATTTATTTAAACCAGCTGCATAAAATTCTGGAGTTCTGGAAGCGATGAATTCGTGGACGGCATTTTTTGCGCTTAGAATTTCTTGCGCAGAAGTTGTCAAGGTGCTTGAAAAATGACAGTCCGCAGGTGAGAGGTATCGCGAATATGACGGATGAGGCAAAGTTTCGTAGCCCAACCGTTCAATTTCTGCAGTGCTGGTTCCGTAACGTGAGGCCGGGTGTTGTCGTGGAGGATTGGTCCTTTTCAGTTGACTAACACCAATCGCTGTTTAGTTTACGGTGCATTTCGCTGATTCTTTTTGCAATACTTCTCTGCCGTAATCCTTCCGCCCGGATTCAAAAATCTGTGACGAATCAGCTGGGCTGCAAACCACCAAGTCACCATAACCGTTTTTGGTGCAATTTCGGCTTTCCGAAGTGCTGTGGAGCTTAATCGGAATCCAACCATTAGGCTGAACGTCGGCGGTTGTCGTACAGAATCCACTTGTCGTGGCATGTCACAATTCAATCAAGAAAAGGGTCGTTTTTGTTGCGCAGAATAAAACTAGACGGTACTTCAAAACGGCGTTCTTTTAAAAAAATTATCGTTTAAGCCGTGCGGTACACAGTTGTGGAGCTTTTTTGTCTTTCCTGTGCGATTCACATGAGTAGAAATTGCTTCTGTGCCTACGCTAAGCTTTTCTGCAGGCTCTGAAACAGTTGTTCGCGTGTTTGCTTCCATTAGTGCCTTTTGTCAAGTTCACTGGGACGTCGGCGGCATTCCTTATGTTCGAGGTTGAAGTCACCAGATCGAAATTTTGGGAACAATGTTCACACTGTTGATTCACAAGCATTACCTTCTCCCCAAACTTTGCTAATGTTTCGAGCCGTTTCTACTGCACAACGACCGAGTTTGAACTCGTAAAAGAAAATTTGACGAAAATTCGTTTTTGACATCTAAAATTGCAAAGCTCAAAATTGGTAAATAAAAGATTAACTTTTAAAAAAATATGAAATATGGTTAAAAAGAGCATAAAACTTCTTTCTCATGATATACAATATTGCAAGACACAAGGAATATTTTGTTGGCAAAAAATACATTGGAACAATATTTTAAAACATTTATTTCTGAACAACCTAGTATATCTGCTCAATAACATTATGAAATTGTTGCAAGAAAAAACAAAGAGATTTCTCTAGTAGTTTTCAAACAAAGGTATACGTACTGCTGGCAAACAATGTAGCAAATAAAGATCATTGTATTATAAAATGAGAACTAATTCACCGGACCTGTGACATTTGAAGGCGTACTTCTTTTTTTGCTCTTCAGGTGAAGGATCTACATACTCGATTGCAACACGACCCTCGATTGAAGACACAACAAACGCATCACCACTTGGAAAGAACGCTGCACATCTAGTTTGATACTGAAATGTTAGCTTAATGGCGTACTAGATCAAAGTGATAATTGACAGCAGAAGCAAAATTTTCTCAAAGAACACTGAAGTTCCTCGGTCAGTTTTTACTATACCAAAAACATACAAGAGATTGATTCTATGTGCAGAAAAACGAAAACGTCACCAAATGTGTACCATACCTTAAGCGGGCTATCACGAACTTGCTCCGGCACACTTAGGTTCCTCATATCGAGCAGATGGATCTTCCTATAACTGTGCAAGTTAAATTTCGCAACATCTCCAAACTTACGTAACAGAAGTATCGAAACCTTTTTCAGCTTAATAGGTTTCAAACGGGTGAATACATGCAATACATACGTCACAGTGTGGTGGGTAACATTGAAAAGTCCTTTAGATAACCAGACAAAGCTGGCTGCAGTAAAATGCCACTTCAGGAATAGTTTTAACTAACCACAAAACACAAGGCAGTACAACAACTAAGTGTGGGGGAAAAGACGCACAATATGAGAAATATGCTAAGATATGATTTTGAAAATTGACGTTGCCTATTTTAAAAAACACAACAATCATCAGACGGTACCTCCCAACGGTTTACCACGCCATCGTGGTTGGTAGGTGTTTCTGGATGTCGGGCTGCAATGTACAGTGAGGGGATTCATCCCCTCAGCAGTCTCCCAAGCTGAAAAGGAGTCCGGCGCTCCCATCAGACAGTCCAGCTAATAGTAAACCAATACCAGGATCCACCACCGTCCTGGTACAAAACTAGCTGCATGGTGGCAAATCTCCCTCTGATCCACAAGGTGCTTGTGGTGGTGACGAACCGGCGCAGACTTTGGCGAGGACGACCTCCGGACTGTGGAGAGCCTCAATGGTTAAACCAGCAAAACTCCGGAAAAACGGAAATTACGCTGAGGCCGCACAACGTATGATGACGGGCCATCCAAGAATCCAAGTAAATAATTATCGTCAGAACACACTCGGATCCACTAGGAGCAATGATAACAAAGTAACGAACCTATCTCTTGTGCCTACAACTATCTTATCTCCAAGAACATCCATTGCATACACACGGTCTCCTGTACCAACGGTCTGGAGTGGTCCACCAGCAGCAGTACTACGAGCATCCCACAGCTTAAACAACAAACAAAAGTTCAGATTTTAATGCTCAAAAGCCACGATGCATTGCAATCCTCTGGCACTGTTCCAAACGTATTAAATCAAACGACAGATAAAAAATAATGTTAACTTTCCTTACATAAGTTTTTTCCGTAAATTACTGTATGCAAAAAACAGTTTTTCAGTGGCAATGACTGGAAAAAAAATCTGTGCCGAGTAACCTACAAAAATTGCGCAAGGAAAGCACCTTGTAACAAAAAATAAGCCACTAAGATAGAAAATTCGTTGCAATGTAGGTGCAATGCACTTCGGCTAACACCTCCAACGCACGTAAAGCACATAACGCCAGTATAATCTGTTAGCAACTTGGGTCTAAAATATGTATACCGGTTATTTTAGCGCTGTTCATCCGACGTCAAAAACGGGATGAAACATCACATTTACACAGAAGTTAAAAGTCACTTATACGCCAACGTAAGAAATAACAAGAACCGTTTCCAGAAACGGCACATGTTTACCTATCTCAGCTCACCACCCACATATAGTTATAAAATAAAAAATTCTAGTAACAAAAGGTTTAATCCCATTACCAAAACGGCACACACAATGCTTAGCGCGCCTAGCTAGTGTGTATTAGGAAGCTGAAAACGATATTTCAGTTCTTGAATCAGTTTCTTCAACAGAAAATTCTAGTACAGCAACGAAAATAAAATCCACAATCAAAACAATACGATTCCAAAAAGGCATACCTTAACCGTGGAATCCCATCCACCAGAGACTACAATAGCACTCTGGGGGTTATATTCCATACAGCGAATACCGTTGCTATGCGCTCCCATGTTTAATTCTGGAATAAGTCATTATCGAAACTCGTTCTTAAAAACCAAGTGGGAGATTCGAAAAATACCTCGTCCAGTTTCAATGTCCACTAACTTTACAACTTGGTCGAGCCCACCACTGGCAATTCTACTTCCACCCTGTAAATCATCGCGTAAGTAGTGAACAATCTGTTGCGACCACAACGTAACATAGCGCAGCGATTGCTTCTGGATGTCGAACTTGCGATGCAGGGCAAAATCGGTACACCTGGCATGGTCTACCAAGCTCGAAAGACGTTCAACATATCGCCACCCTAGCTAGGAGCCAGTGTCAGGCATCACCCCGTCGTTCATATACAAAACTGCTCAAGAAATGGTAAATCTCACTCGAATACATAAAAAAAAGTGCGAAAGTCTCGACGCTGATCTATCCTATAGATGCGTCATTCACTCGACTTCACCAAGCATCGTAGAGGTGATTAAGCATAGATAGCCTTTACAACTCGCTGTGGCCTACCGATGCAACGAGCTGGTGCTGCTATCCTCCCAGATAAGTCTAGTACCAATCCGTTAACCCCAAAGGCACGAAAGGACTGGTGAGTCTTGAGCACGGAGGTCAATTCTGTGTGCACCGTAGGGTGCGACCGACCACTGCGCTAAACGCGTCCCTTCGGTTACGAAAAGGAATGCGAAACCCTTTGGTAACAGCTTGGAAAATCCCTAGTATGGGCACCTAGATCTTTAAGGGAACGAAAATGTTGGGCAACCATCGAATCATTAAACAAACAGAACCGCAACCCCGAGTGGGGGCGAAAGGGGTTTACCGTACGGTCCATCGTGATGACGGGCCATTGCGAGAAGTATGTAAGCAAGTAAACAACTTACGGCAAATGTAAACGCGAGTACCGGTTTTCCATGGTAGTAGTAACGCTTCTCCTCAGAATGGCCATTATTGCCAAGGGTGTATATGTGCACAGTGCCATCCCAGCCTGATGCAGCCAACAGACGCGAGCCATATTCGCGACAAAACTAAAAAAGATCCAATTATCTAATACATATTATACAAGATACCCCTTTCACTATCCCTATGGAGATACATACCTGCACTTTAGAAAGACTAACATGAACAGGAAAAGGAATTTTATGTTCATTTGGAGCCGCGATTATATGAGGTTGGTAGACGCTCATGTTCACTGAAACAATCAATAGCTATGAAGCGCTCATGAAGTTTTCAAGTCATCATCTATTGAAAAATGCAGTACCCCGATAAAACAACACGCAGACGAACGAACCAACATCGCCTTAAGATCTCTCACTAGTAACTCTTTCACTACTACAACATTCCCACTAATCAGTACAATGCGTGTACTCGAACCGAAAAAACATAAAGGATAAAGGATAAAGCTCTCGTCGTTGATCTACTCCTGAAGGATGCGTCATGCATTCGACTTCGTTGAGCATTGATGGAGGTGATTGAATACATATCTGGCTTCACAATGACTCGCAGTGGCCCACCGATGTGTTGAGCCAGTGGTGCCATCCTCCCAGACAAGTATGGTACAAAACTGCCCACACCGGATGGATAGAAGGCTTCGCGAGCCACGGGAGCTGAGACCTATCCCACGTGTGTCGCAGGGAGCCCCGGACCACTGTGCCACATGCGCCCCTATCGAAACACATAACCAAAGCAAATCGAATTACATATAAGTACGACTAACACGTACAGCTTACAAAACGCAACCGAAGGAAAACAGCTACGTTGGCCTCTTCACGTAATCTCCAGAGGATGGAGTGTTGGGTGAAAATTCAAACCGTTGGCGGGACGCGATTTTGCACAAATGTCCGTGAAGTCGCGTCGCATATTCTCTTATGTGGATTTTGAACCATTTTTTTTTCTTTGATTACTTTGTGTTTGTAATTCGCATAGTTTGAAGAGCTAAGGTCATTTTTAAGCGGAGCGGTTACATTTTTAGGCTCATGGTCCGAAGGAAGAAGCGATTAGTGAAGCCTGGGCTACAAGAGTGTAACAAATCTGGTTCTTCGTCACCTGAGCTTGGTTACCAAGGCGAAATTAGCAGTGAAACTAGTAAGTCCAGAACTGGCTCATTTTGCCATGCTTTTTAAATCTTTATTGTAGACGATGTTGTCAATTCAAATTGCCGCGTAACACCGAAAAAAAGGGGTCCACGTATTACAGTCACTAACGATGAAAATATTCTCATGTACTTGGAGTGAGTTCTGTTTACATGCCATTAGTATTTTTCTGCAATTTGCATGGCTTATGGCTAGGGTAAAAACTTCATTTGTACTCAGTTTTTGTTGAGCTGATTAATAGAGCAATGTACTCAACAAATACTTAGAATTGTGGTCTACTACGCGTATAGTGCAGTGCTCACAGGCGCCCTGCAATACAAATGGGGTCGATCTCAGCGCGCTAAGCTCATCAAGACCTCCATCCAGCCGGGGTCGGCAAATTGGTATCAGATTTGTCTGGAAGGATAGCAGCACTGGCTCGATACATCGGTAGGCCATCGCAAGTCATTGTCAAGGTCAGATATGCATTTAATCACCTCCTCCAAATGATGCTTAATAAGGTCGAATGCATGGCTCACACCTTATGGATTGACCAACTCTGAGGGGAAAAGAAAAATTAAGAGCGCAGACGGTTTTGAAATTGCTAACGTTAACGCTGCAGCTGCGTGCTGCTGAACAAAATTAGTTTATTCAGTTGTTTTTTTTATTTAGAACACGAAGTTCGATGCAAAAAAAAGTTGTGAAAAAGAGAGGTGTTCCGGCTCCGTGTTCTACTGGCACTGCCGCTTGCGATGACGCCTGATTTCTGACCTTCACGGACATCCCGGTTTCTTGATAATAATGAGCTATCTTCTGATAGAAAAAATTCTAATAGGCAGTAAATAAAAAGTTGAAATTGTGATTTATACTGCAGCCTCAGCTTAACTGTGTTCATTGTTGATTTGGGCTCCCTTCAATCCTGCTGGCAGGTGTTTGCTGATGGCACTGTTAGGTAAAATACTAGCTAAGAGAAAGGCGAAACGAAGGATCTGCATGGTGTGGTGGTGAACGCGTTAGACCCCGAAAAGGGCAAAAGCGCGTTCGATCCCCACCACAGAGACCTGCGTTCTCGAGTTTTGCAGATATCTCATCATCGTTGTGGTTGAATCTTCCGATAACTAAAGGACTTAAGGTCATGAGATCATGACAGAAGTGTAGAAGAGACTGTGTTCTGCTATTTACCAGATGTTACTGTGGTAAATCATACATTACTGTAGTTAGTCGTACGGCTGCACTGCTGTCAGCTTTCAGATGTGCTTTTCAATTAGGGCCGTGCCTATCAGTATTTTTGATAGCCGCTCGTTTACTAAAGCGATAAAGCGATTCGAATGAAATAACAGTTAGTTATCAGTCAAGTTGCCAATCAGTCTTCTCCGAAAAAGGTTTTTTCTAGACTATTGAGTGGAGAAAACAGTTTTATTGGTCCCTTCACTTATACATTGCTCTGCTTTCGATCTACTATTGAGTAGTAGGCAAAGTTTGATAAAAAGCCCACCGGGACAAATTAAATAAACAAAGAGGAAATACAGTGCGCAGTCGCGTCAAGCACACCTCCTTGAATTTGTGGTTGAGAGTAAACGTCGTGATTTATATGTTTTTCGGTTTACTTTTTTTGTTTTTTTTTTAAAATGCCCATCGCTTCTATAGAATGACTGTTGCTCATCATGGCAGTTTGAGTTGGAAATGCAGTTGGTGGAGGTCAAAAATTGGTTTCCGTGGGCTTGGGCTTTGTCTGCGGTAGACGAATTGAGTTTCATTTCCAACTAAGTAGACAATAAGAGAGTGCAGAAAATGAGGATTATTTTATAGACTCCATCGAAGAGTTATAAAGATGTGGATCGGAGGATTGGATGAAGGTGATGACAATGTTGGTAATGACTATGGAAGTCATGAGCGAACCAGCTACCACAGCTTGGATACACGGAGCCAACTCATTTTTTTGAATTGTTTATGCCCCATATTTGGGAAGGGATTGTAAGCGACCGAGCGACATGGAGAGGAGGGAAATGATTCTAAAGAGCAGATAAGTGCTCAAGAGGTGAAATCATTCGCTGGCCTATGCTTTCAGGAGCACCGCTCGAATGAAGAATCTTACTCCGCAGTGTTCTCTTATACGGGATTACTGTTGAGCAGTTACTTTCACCGTGATCTGTTTGCATGGTGGCAACGCATCCTGTTGCTAATGTTTAGAATCATTTCGTAATAAGAGCAAACCGTATAATTTGTAAGCTGGTAGAAATGTATTGCGAACTGTTAATCCTATAGAACTGTAGTCGTTGCAATTGTATGTAAATTCTCTGTGCGAAATATTGATTATAAAGGTTGCGGGTGTATGTTGCACGCGGTCGTATGTCGCACTAGTGAGGTAGGCATTGTTGAACGAGCTAGACTATGAAACTCTGCTTCATCAACGATATATCTGGACTTTCCTTGTGCCGACAACTACTTTTTCAAGCATTTCGACGACTTTGTGTATGAAAATTCTTCGGGAGCCAAACTGAGGCCTAAACTGCTTTCAACGATTTCATCGCGGAAGTCCAGAACTGTATGAAACTGATTTAAATGGACTTGCTCTGGTCGGCAAAATGTGTAGATTCTTATGCTTTTTACTTTGATTAATAAAATTTATTCAGAGTTGAGATATTCGGTTTTGAAAATAAAGCCAAAAAAGCTTTCGGCGTTGACCTATCCCTTAAGGATGCACCATCCACGCGACTTAATTAAGGATCGTTTAGAGGTGATTAAACGCATATCTGGCCTTTACAATGACTCGCGGTGGCATACTGATGTATCGAGCCAGTGATTCTATCCTCGCAGGCAAGTCTGGTACCAATTTGTCGACCCCGGAGGGATGGAAGGCTTGGTGGACCATGGGCGCGGGAATCGACTCCGTGTGTATTACAGGGCGACACCGACCGTTGCACCACACGCGGCCGTCTTTGACTTTGAAAGTGCGGGTTGGAATCGGGCACTAGTTTTTGGAAAACCTTGTGATTTTTTGCTAGATGTATCAGCATCAATCGCATTTTCTTTGTAGGGACAAGATTACCGATGCATTTGAAATCGCTTTTAATTCTGAGTGTGAGACGGAGGGAAGTAGGTATGCATCAGAGATTCTGCTTGCGGCTTACAACAAAGTATGTTTTTTTTTCAGTTCTCGTTTTATTGCATTTGCATACAATTTTTGACTGGTTGGTGTTTTTAAATGTGCTCTAATCCAGGTTGAGGAGCAAAGTATTGACAGTAAAGCGGAAATTAAAACAATCTTCTTCGAAAAATTTCGGTATAGATTGTCTTTCATGGTAGGTGCAGTTGTTGGAATTTGTTCATCTAGTGATTAATGATTGTAGTTTCTAGGTTGAATCACTCGTATCGCTGGATAATCGATGCAGAGTTCTTCTTTTTATAGCAAAATTTTCTATTAACCTGTGGAGAGAAGGTGCCAATGATTTCATAAATTTTCTAACCGATTTTTGTGAAACTGTAAGTTTCTTTGACGTAAACTACTGTTAGTACTGTTCTCCTAAAGAATCTATTTCTAGTTGTCTCATTGTGACGATCCTGCAGTTCGGCAGAACGTTTGTACATTGGTTGGGTTTTTGCTCAAAGAATTTGGAAACCGCGATAGCATTGGTTGTGGTACTGATAGTATATCAATTGACCTTAGGAGGAAGCTGTATGCTGTTCTGGTTGAACGACAACTTGACAAAGTTTGCCCTAAAGTTGTTTTTCGTAACAGCGCTTTGTTAAGTACACTTATATTGCCATGTAATCATATCTGCATATTTCTACCTGTAACAGGTGGTCGCTGTCCGTGCAGAAGTGGTAAGATCGGTGGCGGATATCCAGGATGATGAGATTCCTAATGACTTTGTTGAAGCTATTGAAAGAAGTCCCAAGGATGGTATGTTTCACGTTCACCACTGCCGTCTCAGCATAAGTAGACGTCGGTTAATTTTTGGACCTAATTTCACATTTCTTCTAGACCTGTGAAATTAGCTTCTGGATCAATTTAAATTAATTAAAATTAACGGCACGTTTGGCGCAGTAGTCAGAGGCGCTCTGCATTACATGTGGAGCCGATTCCCTCTCCCTTGGCCCACCAAGCCTTCCATGTCTCAGAGGTGTGCAAATTGGTGCCAAATTTGTTTGGAAGGTTACCAGCACTGGTTCGATATATCGGTAGACCACCGCGATTCATCGTATAGGCATAGATACGCATTCAATCCGATATTTAATGAAAATGTCTCCATCTCATTTTTCTTCTCATATGAATTCTTTCTAAGTTTACGGATCCATACATTCCCTACCAACTTCTAAAGTAACATATTCAGCTATCATTTATGTTATTGACCTATCCAATTTCCATAGTGCATTGTTCCAGTGATACTGATGGGCTTCAGAGATGTTGCAGCTGAATGTCGACTGACCGCTGTTCTTGGTCTCCATGTTGTTGTCATCGCGCATTGCGACTATCTTATTGAGCTTGCCTCCTCAGATCCAGTTGTCAAGGTAGCATTAATGTGATGATAATTTTTTTTGCAGAGAAGTCATTTGTTGTCTGGCAGGTTCGAGTCGCTGCTATTCGACAACTTGCTAGCTTGCCATTGACCTTCTTGACAGAGGAACAACGAATGAGTTTGCTTCGTGCTGTTATTTTTGACGAAGATCGTTAGTATTCTTGAATTAGGTTTTTGAAGCGCATGTTATTAAATTTTTGTTATTAATCTGTTTACAGCATCTATAAGGGATGTAGTTCGAAATGTACTGCTGTCAGAATGGTTGTCGTTTGTTCAGCGTTTGCAAGAAAAGAGAAATAAACGTAAAAGCGGAGTACGACGCATGTCAAATGGACAGTTGAGAACTATGAAACGTTGGTCCTTTTCTTCAATCCTTTGAATTATGAAACGTTGGTCCTTTTCTTCAATCCTTTGTTTTTGTCTGTTCATTTTTTAATCGCGCTTATTTCTATCTTCTGTTTATCCATTGAAGTCCATACTATCTAGACAGCTTGTCTTATTTCTGAAATTTCTTCTTCTTACTAACCCGTTTTCAGCGGATGTGGAAGAAATAAACGGTGACGAACAACCACATATGTTTAATGGTTTGCGGGATATAAAATATGGCCATGGTATGGGCTCTGCAGCTCAAGGATTGCTTTCTATGCTGGATTTTTGCGACGACTCGGAGGTTGATTGGAATTTTGCGGCCTCCGGAGACCTGTGGAAGGAGTTACGGTGCCATTAACACGAGTGTATTTCAGGCCGAGGATTTATGTCGAACGGTCTTTTTCTCACTTTTTGATGTTGTTCGGAAAATACTTCATCTGGATAAGAAGAGTTTGACTCACTTCGTCTCTTCGCTTGTCAATGACAAGACGTTTCCGGAGGTGTTGTCAGTTCACAACTATGAAGTCTTACTGGATAGAAGGTATGGTTACTTTTAACTGTTTACGCTAAGCGACAAGTAACACGATGGTAACTGTTCAGTGCGAGTAAGGCGCTGCTTCATCCGGACCAGGTCCCATCAGACCTCCCATCTCACCGAGTCGGGAACTAGGTTCAACTTCGTCGGTCGACCCGTTCCGATAAGAAGGGAGTTTCCCTCTGTTCCACAAATGATGGCCCCCTTTTGCGATGGTGATTTCAGAACACCTAAGCATAACTATCGAAAGAATCTAGGGCAAATTGTTACGACCGGCGTTCAAGGTTCTTTGTAAAGACCTTTATCTTTATATCTTTATAAAGAAGACCAAAAATCATGGAGCAGCAACCGAACTCAGACCCAAAATTCAACGGGTTTCGTGGGATACGGATGCGAGGAAATGAATCGAATTCAAGAATTGCTGGGATCCGCATTTATGTGCCGTATTAGGTCGCATCAAAAAAAAATTTTCACTTAGGTTACTAGTTCTGCCCATTAGCAACACTTAGTTGTGCAAAAAACCGAAATTGTTGGCGAGGTATGGCTTAGATTTAACTTGATAGTTAGCTGACTTTGACTTTAAATGCTTATTTAAAGGCTTTAAAATTCTTCATTTGCTAGCGTCAGGTCACGCGTGGATTATTTCAACGGGTTTTTCCGAAACCTTTTCTAGGAGCTTTTTTCTCTAAGACAGTACTAGCTGCAATCGGGATTCTTGCCGAAATTAAATCGGAGGTTTCTTCCAAAATAAGTCATCGATTTTCCAGCTACATGTTTAGAAAACAAGAGATTTTCTTTCCACTAACGAAAAATCTGCCAATTATCTAGATGCATAAATTTGAGGATGAAAATCGGAGCCTTGATTCTTTCAAAATAACGTTCCAGTACAGTTTTCCTGTTGAAGTTCAAAGGACGGATTTCAGCTTATCAAAAACAGATCAAGCCCAGTTTGCGTTTTTTTGGCGAGTCCTTATAGAATACTGCTGCAAGCGAGCTCAGTCGGAGGTGGAATGCATGGAATGCATAAATATGCTCGCTCCACCAATTGATTCATTGTGCAACTTGGTGCAGCGGTGAGATTTTTTCATACTTGAAATTTTCATCACCTGTATTGCTACAGCTATTTTCGCTGTGGTAATCAATGCTCCTTTGTACCTTACGCCTAGATTTTCTTTAAGGTTGAGGACTTCAGCTTTACCACCTGCGGACTCAGAGGGTGAAGAAATGGAGGCGCCTGTATGTGATATACAACAGGTTTGTTCTTCTAGTATTACCATTTCGTTACACGCTGGCTTGTAGTTGATGTCTGCTGTGTTCTTTTTTCCCGCTTCAGATAGAACACTGACCTGTGTTGTTTTGATCACTGGTTTGAAGTTTCATAGCTCAGAGAAAACTATCTTGTATAATCTGTAGTCAAACATCTAGGTCGGCACTATTATATTGTTCCTAGAGTGGAAGCTACTCTATTATCTAGGTAAATAAATAAAACGTTCAGGTTGCAGTCATGCATCTTTTGGGGATCTTACGTCGTCTTGGTCGTAAAGACTTGCTGGGAATGTGAGTTTAGTAATTGTTCATCCATAATTAAGTTCCTATTTAATTTCCGTTTGAAATGATTGTTACAGGAATGAATGGAAGTCTCTTCTGTTGTCACTTCTTCGAGATGATTCATTGTCGAAGGAAATAACTGATTGTCTTATGGTTGATCTAGTCGACGTATTTTTTCAAGGGAAGCCGGAAGTTCGTGTTAAGCTATGTTCTTCCAGGTTTCTTTTCATTTCGCACTTCCTATAAGGTCAGTTTTAATGTTTAGCAATTTCTTGCAACTGTATATGATGTTACCATTGAAGTCATTCGATATGCGCAATTCTCTGAGGATTGTAACGAGAACAACGAATCCGCTCCAACTACAATGGTTATTAACAGTCCCTTTAGCTTCTTCACATTTATGGATTCCTTTGGTTATTTATTTCGTCTTTGCAGGATTTACTGTGGAACATTTCATGTTTTCAGTTCAGCGGTGGCAAGAGAAGGTTTTGTATGCAATTACTACATTCAATGTTACGCACTGGAATTTTCACAAGATATTCTCCAGTCCTGAAGAAAGTTTACAGTGACATTGTAGGCTTTTTTTTCTTGAAAGTCATTTATTGATGGAGAAACGGCTGATTGCTGATGATAGCATTGGGTAGGAAACTAGCTGAGAGAAATACAAAGGAGGGGCCTCAATGGTGCAGTGTGTAATACACGAGTCCCCGGAAAGGGTAGCCGTGGTTAAGTCTGGAACGGGTCTAAATTTTGCGAATATCTTAGCATCGTTGTGTCTGTATTTCACTTCGTACACTGCCGTGAAAATTTATAGTAGCTAGCAAATAAAAGATTAACGCACTCACTTGATGTTTATTCGAACGATTATGATTTTAGAGAGTTTACTTGTTTAATTTAAAGCTCTCTTTATGTCAGTAAAACTGCTTTTTAGATTGTGTCGTGTTTCTCATTCAAAGGCACTCAAGTGCATATTTGGGCGTTAGAAGCGTCAGGAATTGTTGCGCTAATTGCTGAAGAGGTGGCTGGAACAGTGCTTTTCGAGGCACTAGATGCTTTCAAAAGTAGTGATGAGAGCATCAAAGTGAGACATCCGTTTTTCCACAAATAGGAACGAGTTACGATAATGTGCTACCTATTTGTGTTATTGAAATGTGGACCATTCTAGATATCGTCTATGGACGTTGTTACCGATTTAATTTTGGTTTATGGTTTTAAAGAAATTCGAAATTGGCAGCACAGCGATGATCAGAGAGATCCGGAGTCTATCCGCGGTTTCATATCTAGCCTCGCAAAAATTGTGAAAAGCAAGGTATCTATTGTGTTTAATCAATTAGGGGTACGTAGTTTTCTATTTGTGAAAGAATTGTATGTTAGAGTACAGGATCTTTATTTTACCCTCGGAGTATTAACATGTTTTTATAATTTACTTTGAAGGATGCAAGTACACTGCTTTGCACGAAAGCATGTCAGTGCCTATCTAAAATTGTACTCGTAGAAAGCATTGCTGACGATGTAACCCTTTTCGCTGATGCTGTTGCTTGTCTGATATCACGGTAAACACTCCGACATGTCTTTGTTGTTGTCATTTATTATCGCGTTTATGTAAGCCTTCTTGAATACCAAAAATGTGCCACTTTTCATGAAATTCTTGTTCGTTCTACGAATACTTAGTGAATTCACAATGTTAACCTTTTTATTTACTCCCTAACATAATTTTCACGGCAGGTATTAGGCGAAGTCAACCACAACGATGCTGAGATATTTGGAAAACTCCGGATAGCAAATGTCTGCGGTGGTAATTGAACACCTTGTTGCCCTCTTCGGAGGCTAACGCATTCACCACCGTGGCATGCTTTTCGTTTCGATACCCACTGCAGGCACTTGCCATTCGTAGTTTTCCAGATATTTCAGCATCATTGTGGCTGACTTCGCATAATACCCTGCCGTGAAAATTGTAGTAGGCAGTGCATAAAGAAGTCAACATTGCCATTTCGATTCTAGTCTCAGTTTAACTGGGTTCAATGCCGATTTGGTCTTCCCAGACCAATCTCGTAGATGGGTGATTTATGATGGCACTGATACATAGAAAACTAGCTGAGACTTAGTGAATTTTTTAATCAGATGAAAAATCTGAGTGGTGAATCTAAGCTGTTGCTTTTAGACTCTTCCACACCAGCATTCGTCGACTGCCGGAGGCGAAATCATGTATGGAGAAGTTTTTCGCAATATTCCCGTCGACTCGAAGGTGTTTAAGTGTTGTGTTGCATTACTTTTCATGGTTTTCGTACTTGATGCTACTTCTATTGTTGTCAGTGTTCAAAGTTTAGGAGAAACCAGCTGATAATGGTGGCGGCATTTCACGAACTAATGTCAGCCATTCGTAAGGCTTCTGATGACGATTTCGTTCTTTGCATTGACATCATGGGCGCTCTACACCTCTTAATTAATACAACTCATCCTTCTTTTTTGCACCAAGCCCCCGACATGGAGGTGGATATCTCACTTCGCTTTTTAAAAATCGTTTTAGCGTATGCTTTCATCGTAGTATCTTACCATGAATTGTTTTAATTTGTTTATGATTTTTTCGTCTGCAGTGTCTGGCATATTCATTTAAAGCAATTGTTTAGCTGGGGTCTGTGCAAGCAGAGTTCATGCGTGAGCTGCTTGAGTACTTGCTTAACCATTCCGATGACACTTGCGCATCCCTGTATTGGGAAACTGCATCATTGTTAGATCTAGAGAGCTTCTCGTCTGCAGATCTTAGTGAAGTGAAGGAAATCGCACAGAAAATCCTTGAGGTACTGTCGAAACAGGTTATTCGTTCTGTTGCAAATCAAGTTTGCATTTATCAACAGTGCCTTTAAAAGTTGTTTTTATCATGTCTGGAATAATATATATAGAATTGAGATCATAAACACGGTCTTCTGAACTTCACTGTTTTTTCTACAATATCATACCTATCATGTTCTTTAGGAGGTCATAGCATGCACCGGACTCAAAAGTGCGATGGCTAACGAAGCGCACAAATTAATTCGCACTGTCGATTGCGCCTTACATGAAATCGAAACCCGAGAGGCAGAGGCGAGTGCATTAATATTGTTGTTGTTTCCAAGTCCCTACCTTACAACATCTCTTCTACAGGATGCAGAGCGTGAAGACTGTCTCACTGAACTGTCTCACCGAGACAAAACCGCACGGTCATCACGATGTGGAAGAAGACAGACACCTGTGTCAACACGGACCACCACTCCTATAAGTTCATCACTGAGTACTTCCCTCAAAAGAAAAAAGGTCTACCTATTATTCTCACTTTTTCTTGTAACTTCCTCATCACTCACTTCTGCTAACATTTTAAGGTTACATCACGTGTGAAACGATCCACTCAACAGCTGTTGAATAGTGAAAGATCTCCATCTCCACAACGTAGGTTAAAACTAAGATATCTGAAGCTCTGCTTTACTTCTATAAAGAAACCGTTTTCCTTTTCTTTCAGCTGTTCTCTATACTATTGTAACTCCTACAGCACGAAGTCGTCCACAGCTATCTCGAACTGCGAAAAGAATAGCTGTCGGCAAGACAAGACGTTGGCTTTTTGAAAATGACCACTGAAGGAAATATCCTAGAATAATTCCACTTTTTTCGTTAACATTAAGCTAACTTCTATTGAACAATAGGTAATACTAATGTAGTGAAACTCCTTTTTTTTTTTTAAACAACTGAGCTTAACCCTTTGCCACATGATATCAAAGAACACCTTTTCATAATACGGGGCATTATTCACGGGTGTTTAACTCGGAAACCTCACTATTCTTAGGGAGCATTTTTACCGAATCTCTCTTGTCTAGACCATTTCTCACGCGTATCTCACGTCCTTGTTGTACACTGTGTAATATCTTTATTTCAGAAAACATATACATAACAATAGTGAAAGCATCGTACAATTTCGTGCTACTGTTTACCACCACCAGCAGGTGCGCAGTCAAATTTCCCTCTGACTATATTAGCCTTCACCGAGATCAGGTCACGTCTTCGTCCACCACGTACTAGAACCTTAAAGACAGTCAATGCTTACATTTTTAGGAATTGAATATACGTATGTGTACAATTGTATATTTTTAACAGATGTCCTACATTTACTGAATACAATGCATTTGGCGAGAAAAAGTGCTTGTATGGCAGCAACACATTTCAGCCCACATCAAGTCTTATTATTTAAACTGAAGTCCACCACAATCTACAGATTTCTATTCATATGGCACAATTTCACTAGCCTACCTATAGGACATCCTGGTTTTTTAAAGCCTCTAAAGCGCATTTTTTCACTCTTTTGCGTCTACACAAGCTTAAAAACCCTAATTTCTGCTTTCAAAGTTTTGAGCTCCACAGTGCAAATATAATATTGTGTGGAATAATATTCTATGAGAGTCGCATTTGCGATTAAGACGATAGAGCAGGCTCTATAGCTCTAAACCTACAATGTATTCTACCCTCGCTGTTGAGACACATATCCAACCTCTCTAGGATCTCGTTGCCAGGTATTACAATAACTACAACGCTTATTTTTTTACTACTACTAAGTACACAGTGATTTTATGTAACAATCATGAAGAAATAATGCTAAGAATGACATACTTTACATCTTTTTCTAAACTTTATTAAACTGTCTTGAACACAGCTCACTTTTTTCACCGTTAAACTAAGCACGCCTCAATGTAAATCCAACATCATTAAAACAAGCATTTTTGCCAAAACATCGTGCTTCAGTGAATGGCATGAGTCATTTTTAACCCACTTTGTATTCACTCCAACGCAGATACTGTGTCTACCGTAGTCAGGAAAAAACTTCATTCTAGAATTCTAGGCGACATCGTATAAAAAACCTTTTTTCGAACGTAATTATGTGTCCGACTTATATCCTGCGCTGGGTACGAGCATATCTACTGGACCTACCCACCGAAGTTCGACACCTTGGAACCACGATGAAATCGCATAACCCAACTTTCTTACAATCCTTCATCGATGGTATAAACACTGTATTCAAAAACACGTATGTTACAATTCTTAGGATAACATTTTTACCCAGTCTGCAGTCACAATCCCTCACCTTTACAACGGAATTTTAAGCGGAATTACATACAATTTAGACTATCACAATTCTGCGACCTTTACATCCTTACAATGTACAAGTTTTACAATTAACCAGTTCTGTACTAATTATTGAAACAATCTAAATAAAAATACATTAGTACGCGTGGTGAACGCGTTAACGCCCGGAAAGGGTAATATCGTATTCGATCCCCACCACAGACACCAGTGGTGCGGAGTTTTGCAAATATCTCAGCATCATTATGGTTAAACAAAAATATTTCTTGCACTGGCGGAATGTCCTACTTGGTATGGTTCCGAAATCCTGCTTCACTCGGTGCCATAAATATATCATCTTCGACATGGCTACTTGAGAGTGAAGACGCTTAAGTACGTCGTCCATTTGGTTTGAACTCATGCATCTGCACTTGCTGTGCAGTGTCACTGTAGATGTTCCATGCCACACATATACCCATTATGTCAGATGTAACGAAGGAATGCCACCGTTTTCGAAAAGATAAAAGAGATTTGTCGATACAGACGTGGAGAGATCCAGATGTGTAAACAATTGTACTGCTTGAGACGTTCGAGTAGCGGACTGTGGATTGAGCGTTATGCACTAAACTGAGGTAATTTAACAGCTCAAATCGTGTCAGTAGACGGAGCTTTAACAGCACCGTCTACTGACACGATTTGAAGACCAAAAATGATGGCTTGTATGAGCAGCATTACACCTTATACAACTGCCGACACAGGAGCTCCACGTTGTGGTTTTCCATGTGATTTCATACTTATACTGCATTACTACTATACTATGACAACTACCGTAGTGGAATGGGATGAGTAAAAGTGAACATTCCACGACACTCCGACACCAATGCAGTTGAATTGTGGGAATTTCTTCCCGTGTCTCGGTCATCATATACAAAAATTAGAAACGCTTAAACATTATGGCACAATACACAGAAGTTCGTAAACGCACAGAATATTGTATGTTCATCACTTCTGTTGGTCCTTCTTTCGGTGTAGCGTTTACATTCTTTATCAAGCGTAGCACAACGGATTCTACTGGTTCACTCTTGATGAAAGTGAGTCGGAAGTAAAGCGTAATTCACCTGCCATCGACGTAATTCGAGCCTCCACAATTCAATTCGTTATTATTCATTCGTAAATGTAACGATTATTAAAACTTACCGTAGGCAATTAGCAAGAACAAAACGTTTCTAAAAAACACTGAAGTTTAGTTATAGTTAGAAAACCTTATCAAACGCTGAGAACAAAATGGAGGTCTGATGAACCAATGTAAACGAAGTTCTTGCATCATACACAAGAAATTGATATGTACCAAAGGCATGAAAATATGCAGCGATGATATGCAGAGCATTTTTAAAAAATGCATGAATAGAGCAAAAATTACACGAAAAGGGTCGAGTTGTCCATTGGAATTCAGAGTGAACGGAATGAGTCACATATCAGAGATGAAAAAGGCAGCGAAAAACTCAGAGTCGTTTCAAGCTTAACTCATACAAGAATAGGCGTCGGCGACAATGAGATAAATCATCTATGTACATTTTCTCTAAAATTTCAGTTATTCTAACTTTAAGAATAGCGTAGCATATAAAGCTTTCACTATGCCCTAAGTTTCAATTTTTTTTCATGGCAAGGTACGATGCGAAATACAACCACAACAGCGAAATCTTAACGCATACCTGCTGTGCCGCTTTGAGCCATTTATGACACTGCCACTGTCATCATAGCATTCATTTTTTCTCTGATTGTTTCTTTTGCGGCATAAATCTCTCTATAGCACTTACTGCATTCAGTCCACAGCTCTCCCACCGCCTGTTGTGCCAGGTATCGATTGAGCAATGTTACTTCTTACGCGTAATTTAAAAGAATGGACAAGTATTTCTGAGTCATTAATGTCGACGGATTATCGCTGGTAAGGAGGGAATCTTCAGGTTACCGCCACGAAATATTCGCCATTTTCTAGAATGTGTTAGTGAGAAACTTTCACCAGAAGTGATAAAAAATATTACAGGAGTTCTCTTTTAGAAATTTTAAAATACGTTATAAAGTTGGAAACAGGATTATGGACCAATGCAAGCAACTTTTGTAAACGACCTACTTGAGAGTGTTCTTGGAGGTTATGTCCAACACCTGGAATATAAGCACACACTTCAGCACCAGTTGATAGTCGAACGATGGCACATTTACGATTCCCCGAATTTGGCTTCTTTGGATGTCTTATAACAGCTGAAATTCCGGTGTTCCTTTCAATGATAAAGCTTGTATGACATCACTACATGAAGAAGCAAACTGCGTGAAACTGCATAAAACTAATACTCGCTTTTGAGTACAATGCCTTTGTAATGGTTAAATCCACTAATCGGACTTTTGTCTTGACTACGAGATCTTCTCCGTGGAGGCCCGTTCCGGTAATGCATAAACTGAAAAGGATATAAAATTTTCAACAATTCAATAACATGTAGTCATAAACACGTGTTCTAGTAATCACAAACATCGATTCAGTAGGCTGCTGGATCTTCCAACGGCTTACCGCCTCATCGCGGCTGGAGGTGCTCCTCGGTGTCGGACTGCGATGTACAGCGAGGGATTCACCCCCTGGCATGGTCTCTTATGCTGAGAAGGAGTCCGGAGTTTCCACCCCGAAGCCCAGCTAAGAGTAAACCAATACCAGGGTCCACCATCGTCTTGGTATTAAACTAGTCCCGTAGTGGCAAACCTCCCTCCGATCCATAAGGGCGCCGACTGCCTGTGGTGGTGACGACATGAAGCAGACTTTGGCCGGGTTGACCTCGGAACTCCAGGGAAACGCAATGGCTAAACCAGTAAAACTCCGAAAAATAGACAATATAGTGGGGCCCGCACAGCCAGTGAGGACGGGTCGTCCAAGCATCCAAGTAGGACTCAATCCCATTGATAAGGTAATCGCTGATGGCACTGATCGATAGAACTAGTTGAGAGATAAGCGAAACGAGGTACCCGAATGATGTGGTGGTGAACGCGTTAGTCACCGGAAAGGATAACAGCGCATTCGTTCCCCACCGCAAACACCTGAGGTCCAGAGTTTTGCAAATATGTCACTACCATAGTGGTTGTATTTCGCATAATACCCTTCCATAAAAAATTGTAGTAGGCAGCAAATATCTGTAAGTTAGACTGTTCGACGCTGCCGTGTCTGATGTACTACTATGCAGTTTAGTGATACAAGTAGCTTAACTACAAACTAAATCACAACGACTTCCATAAAGCATGTCAGATAAGTTAAGTTCGCTGGTTGGGAAAAAAAATTTTGGCAGATGCGTTATTTCTCAAGATTTTCATCACAAACCACTTTTGTCCCTTTGCTCCGATTTTCAGCTGCCCTTAACACTCCTCTACGAATCTGAAATACCTTTTGCTCAACTGAATGTATGAGTGAGTGTGAAATTATCATCTTGAATTTTCCGAGACATTTGCAAGCTTACTGATTTGGCTGCGTGCAGAGCAATGGTTAGAGGCGCCTTGCAATGCATACGTTTTTAATTCGAACTGCGTTATATTGGCAAACAACCAAAGAATATTGGAAGATGTTAACCTTTTATTTGCTGCTTACTACAATCTGAGATATTCGCAAAACTTGGATCCCGAGCCAGATCGAACCACTACCACCCAAATGTGTAATCGTCTAGACTAAGGTCCAAGTTCTGCGAATGCTGGAAGAATGTCTACACATACTAATAACTCAAAAGACCAACTTTCTAACCTCAGCATAGAGGGTTGGTATATTTATTTACACAATCTTATAAACTGATCTTCTTTAGCTGATGCGAATTTGGTATAGGTCTTCGATTTTCGACTAACGTTCCGACGGTTTCGTCTTCTTCACAGTTGATCATCCGAGAGGATAGTCTCGTTGTTCGTGTTCTCCATGTGAAGATGAAACCTTCGAAACGTTGGCCGAAAATAAACATCATTTATCAACATTGTGTAAGCTTAGAAAAGAAAGAATACTATCCGTAGTTTTTGGGTCCCCTAGATCAATCCCGTTGACGGGTGATTAATCATGGCGCTGATCGATAGAACTAGTTAAGAGACAGGCGAAACGAAGGACCTGAATGGTGTGGTGGTGAACGCGTTAACCCCTGGAAAAGGTGATACCGCGTTTATTCCCTACCGCAGATACCTGCGGTCCGGAGTTTTGCAAATATCTCAGCATCGCTGTGGTTGTGCTATTCTTAGTGTTCAAAACATGTAACATGTTGTTTACGAACAGAGAAGACGCACCTGAAGAATGTTGTTCCTCAACACGGCAGCTGAAGAATGCAATGAATAACGTTGAATATAGATATAATCCGTTGTACTCATCAACGACGGGCATTGAATCAAAGTCCTTACTAAGCTGGACAGCATCTAAACAACTTTACAGCAATGATAAAGATAAGTCATCACCACAGCTGACCCAGTGGATTAGAACTGCCTTCATAAGAGTATAACATACGATTACATCTATACAACATCCGATCGCACTTAAACAAAGACGGTAGGACACATGAATCCCAATCTAAACCTGCTTAATTCAGATGAAATTTGTAGTTTCTAGTAACCGTGTTTTATTCCATGTACAGCGATCTAATCGATCATGTACCGAATCCTGAGCACAGTGCTGGTTCGATCCCGCCCCAGGCTCACTAGACCTCATCCCTCCGATGTCGGGAAATTTGTACCAGGCTTGTACGAGAAAAAATCACTCTCCGCAATCCAACTGGAAATGATCTAGCCCGACCATTCTAGGACTTCAAAGAGAATCAAGTCCAACAGCCATCTACGATATTAATGCCAAAATGAAAAACCCTCAAGTGGCACCCGAAGCTAGACGTAGAAGTTGGAAAATCTCCATGGATAATGGATCAATCCAATGGAAACAATCCAATGCGGGAAGTGCTGGGATCCGTACAGTAGATGTGAAAGACGGGTCCTATGAAATTTAAAAAAAACAGCGACCTTTTCCGTAGCATTGGTCATACGATCTGTCGCTTACACCTACTACTTTCCTCTCGATTATCTCCTCGCTCTACTTGGGTCGTTTGCTACAAATTTGAGTTGGTTTAAACTGCAAGCACGTGGAAAGTAGTCACTTCTCCACTCGATTACCTTAGTTAGCAAAAGTATTGACGAGCAATATGTACTACGGGCCACTTCTCTGCACGGACAAAGAACAAGAATCTTGACATCACCAGTCCCAATTAGCTGTACAGAGGTAGTGCTGTCACCATTTGGAGTAAAGGTTGCTTTGCATTGAATAATCGCTGTAACATCTGGCATGTGATCCGTAAGACAAATTTTGTTTTTTCACCGATTTCACACTGCAATGGAATTAACGTTCACTGTACTCTGTCCTCAAAAAAAATCTGTGAACAACCCTCCACACCAGCAACGGTCTCTGCAACGAAAAATAAACCCCTCAGATCAGAATGCATTGAAATCAATGCGCATCCTAGAAACTGTCATTAGATTACCGGATACCTAACCCGCGTGTTGTTCCCCAGCTGTTAGCGACGTCGTATTCTCGTTAAAATTTTCACTGCCTAGTGTTTTAAACTGGAAATTTGATCGCCTGTTTCCACATTCGGGTGTGTACATAGCAGACATAGTGATAAGTATGCAATGCGCATTAGCATCTGCAATAATTGGAACACATTTAACAAGCATTTAATCCATCTATACAAACAAATTAGTTGGCTGCGTTTATAATACCTATTGTTGATGTGACAAAGACTGATCTACAGGCGTATTATAGCTAAGCCTTAGAAAAACTACACGGGAGCCCTGGGACCTAGGTGTAGTCAAATGTTCTAGCTACACCAAATATCTTACAACTCCTGGTTTATTCTCGTTCGTTCCATTTGGTCAACTTCTCTTTTATCCACAATAGCCTTCTTCTCTCTGCAGTATTGCCGCCACGGTAACCATTTTGTCTGTGTCTTAAATAATGACGCTTCCGAAAATGTCGGAAATGTGTCCAGGAAGTAACCTAAATAAAAATATTTGAGTGGCCGAATCACATATCAAACATAGTTACAGGACGTGAAATAATTCCGGTATATGTAAATCTTCACCATCTTCAGCTCCCATAGGAAGATAGGAAGGACTGCGGTGGTAACTTTTTCGACAAAACTCAAAAGAAATGCTAACACACCAAAAGTGTGACGCTTTTAACAACCGTCATACTGGAGGAGCCCACTGGGTAGTTTTTATGGACGCTGGGGAAGAATAGAGATTCCACCCATAGCCGCTCGAGTTAGTCGATTATCAGCAGTATTACAGACAACAGGCAACAACAGTTTGGTATTATCTGTCTCCACTTGTCGATGGATACTGAGAAGATTCTCCATTACATAGGGAATCTTTTGCATTTACCATTGAGAAGGCCATTAAATGGACCAATCTTGAACTGCTCATCGTTCATTCTATGTTTCATCGTCGGTCAAATGGAAATGAGCCAGTAGCGCTCCAAATCTGCGGGTGATCATTATTCCGTATACAGAGGATCGGATATGAAAACTGAACAAAGACTAACAATCCCTCATCCATGGTGGTTCAACAATTCTGGTCTGAAAGAAGGTGCGAATAAATCCATCCATCGTTTCAACGATTTTTGTGTTCGTCCCGTCCCTCCTTTGTTCTCATCTGTTAACCTATCATAAAAATTCGCCAAATATCGGCCATAAGACATTATAAAAACGTGCAGAAATTGTGCATCAAAGCGAAAGCAGTTGGTTCACTCTATAACAAAAAAGGTGAGGTTACGAGACACCGTGTCATCTGACCATAACATCATCACTGACATCGATATCACCTATCTTCACTCTCTGATACTCATCCTTCAGTGTTTCAAAACCGACTTTCCTTTAACCTCGGTATTACTAATCAACATGTATTATTTTTTTGATGAGCTTACACGAGGTTGACAAAGATATTCGTCTTAGCCTGACGTTTCGACGTCTTCGACATTATCAGAGCCGATGATCCGAGTCGGTGTTCCTCTTTAACTCCTTCACTCATCCTTCAGATTCATCCCTGAGGTCCAATAGAAGTGCCACATTTTACCCACAACCTTCTGTATCTTCTTTATCACCTTCGAAAATCAACCAAATGAAAATGACTATCAATCGCTAGCCGCCAAATAATTTTTCCCAATAATAATTTAATTTCCAATTTCACTACTCGCAGAAAGCGGATAGAATTTGCAGACTTTGAAGAAAAAGGGACAAAAAAACACTGAAATATACTTTGCATGCGTTAGGAAACCTTATCAAAGGCCGACAGCAAGGTAACTGGATGATGAAAGAGTTTTTTTAAACATCGAAATGTACTCAAATACCTTCCCAAGCCTCACCAAAGAAAGAAAGCAATGTAAGTGGAAAGTGGACGGGTTGTTCTTTGGCACGCAAAGGAACTTAATGTGCTCCAAAAACATTGAGGGACATGTAGAATACGAAGGACCCGGAGAGCATGAAAAGGTATATAAATGCGCGTAACAATAGACAGATAGGATTGTTGGGTAAAGAGAAGAAATATGGCGCTCTGATAACTTTGAGGACTTAGCAATATGGGCCGCGTGCCTTGATTTCAATACACTTTGGTGACAGTGGAAAACATGAGATAGTCCCGAACGGCCCCTACACAAAATTACATGTAGTCATGTATGTATTAAAGTGACGGAAACTACTTGAAGACGGTACCGAAAACAGATTCACGCAAGATTGTTCACGCGTAGCAAAAACAGATCAACGTAGCAGGACACTCCTTAACGAAATCGGTAAGATTCGACAAATGTGTCCAGTATGATGGAAAAGCAAAGAAATCGTAGCTACGGAATCCGTCCTCTGTTCCTTTGCAGAACAAAAACGATCCGCTTCTTGATCAAATTTTGACATGCGGCTAAGAGTGCATCATAAATGAATGAAGTTTTGCGTAAAGTTAGACAAGGATTAAGCACCAAAACACTTCCTCAAGCTAATTTTGCAGCAGAAGTTCTTGATGCTATTGCCTAGCCGGTAGAATTTTCCACGAAACATCTTCAGTTTCAGTGAAGTCATTACACTGAGAAGACAACCTCAAAAAATGTATTGAGAAGAGCGCGAGTGCCACCAGCAGTACACACTCGTTAGGGATCAATTCTGTTCTACAAAGTCCTATAATGTGTTGCATAACCAATACTGCAAGTTGTAAGAATTTGAATAGGGAACTCTGCAGCTTCGAGTATAACCTCCCACTACTACGACTTCTTCGAATTTCTCGGTAAACACTTGCCAGGGAAATTTCTAACAATTAAACTGGGACTGAAAATCCCTTTTGAAAAGTCGCAGGCAACAGCAATGGTGCAAATAGACGTGAACTGATATCAAAATGGTTGTAGTTTTCACCTTAACTATATAAGTATAATGGAAGTGCGATTTATGAACCCCAAGTTATAGTAGGAAAACATGGTTTGAAGCTAACCATTAGCCATTTTCCGTTTCAGATAAATCATACTGTCCGAGAACGCCCGTGCGGCCGCACTTGACCGACAAACTGTTGCCTTGGAGTAGGGATCTATTAGAAGCAAGTGAACATCGCCAGAAACCTGCTTTCTGCAAATATGTTTCCATAGAAAAATAAGTGCCCTGCAAAAACTTTAAACAGTACGAAGTACCAATTATAACAAACGTCACCTGCGAGTGGTTAGACCTTTCTCTATATGAATGACATACTGTGAAGCATCAAATGTCGAATAGTAGTCAACGAATCGAAGAACCAATTCAGCGGTAGTCATTTGATTGTGCATACACCATTCTGAATATCCCTTTCAAAGGTTTATTTAGAGAACATAATATCAACGAAAATAGAAAACATACCAATTGAATGCTGAGGACTTTCTAACATTGACACCACACTATCAATCGGGATCTGCGCACCAACGAGATTCCCATGTGTTTTACATAAAACGGGCAAAACTGGCCATGGTGACAATGACTAGAATATCCCACGCGAAACTTATTACATAAAATTTTGAAAACGTTCTTACCTGTTCGCTTTGTAAGAAGTGTATAATAAGCAGAAGTATGTGGTACGAAGAAAGCAGGCCGTACTTACTGTTGCGAATTTCCAAAGCATCAAAGAGTGTCCGGAAGTAGAGGAACAATCTAGGAAGGCGATGGTCGCACTATAAGTAACAAGTGACTGCCTAAGCAAAGAACTCCTTCAGAGTAACAATTGATCTCGTCGTAACTAATAATCAATTGTACCTTACCTGGACGTAATGCCGAATTAGATTGGTATTACGAATAGCTTGAAAATTCTCATCTGGGAATTGGATGTCGATGCTATGGCCGTTTTCGAGTAGAATGATCAAAAGAGGAACCTAAGTATGATTATGAACAGAAATCAAAAAACAACTCAGCGTACAATAGGCAAATACTAAACTGAGTTAGATCCTCTGAAAAAAAAAGGAAACTATTCACATATGGAATCACTTGTTAAAATCGTATTCTAGCGATCTTCTAAGACGAACACAGAAGACCAACGCATTACTACGGGTAGTGTGCTGTCCCCCTACGCCTTACAACTTGCACTTATCTTTCGCAAATAATATAAAGTGCACTGACTTTAACGCATTCGCTTTCTGGAGGTCTACTTTCTACTACAGAGCTTTTTTTTATAAGATATTCTGTAGGCTTAATAATTTGCGAAAACTGTTTTACGGAGTACCCCAACTCGCGATTTGCAATTGTTGTTGGTGAACAATGTACCCACCACAGAGAATGTTGTCAGTGATGATCCTCAATATGCTCCAGCTTTGGCTTTAAAAACAGCTAACAAATCTGCCAAATCACCCTAACGTTTCACTGAAATGCTGTGTCAAAAAAACTTACTTCACAACCCGCAACTCGTCATCTATACACACAAACAATGCACACATCCTACACTGAATTAGCGCATTTAGTGAAGTGGTCGGAGGGGCTCTGCAATACACATGGGATAAATCCCGTGCCCCAGGCTCACCAAGCTTTCTATCACTTCGGGGTTGGCATAGTAATGCCAGACTTGCCTGGGAAGATAGCAACACTGGCTCGATACATCGGTAGGTCACCACGAGCCATTGTAAAGCCCAAATATGTATTCAATCACCACCAACGATGCCTAATGAAGTCGAATGCATGGCGCACCCCTCAAGGATTGACCAACGCGGAGAGTTTTATCCTTTTTACCCTAGCTTATTATTACACCTAAGCTATAACTCTTCACTGCAGTGTAAAGTTGCACAACTTCATCTTCAGAATGCGCGTCGAATCTATTTTTTTTTCCTTTTTGAGGACAAACGACAGTGAGCGTTAATTCCACTGCAGTCTGAAATCGGTGAGAAATCAAAAGTCGTCTCACAGGTCAGATAGCAAGTGTCGTTGCGAATGTGTTAACATGCACAAGTCGTAGAACTTGTTAATTTACACCGATTATTCAATGCATGGCAACTACCACTCCAACTAGTGGCAGCACTATCTCTGCAAAGTTTATCTTATCTTATTAGGTTGGAGCACATGAAATATCTGATTTTACTATTTTAAGTTTCGTGTAAATTTTTTAAATAAAAATTTTACTCTTTATGTATGTTTAATATACGTTTTTGAAGCATAAAGGGTGCTCTTTCTATTCCTAGTACTGGTTTTTAAGGATCTATTATTTTAACGTTTTTACAAACTTTTTAACTTTAGTATGAACCAACGTGATATCCGCGTCCCTTTTTTGTACAGTGGAAGAGTGGACATAGTGCTGCGGGGGCAGCGCCGAATATCATCAAGTTTGGGGTGAAGGTAATTTGTTGAATCAACAGTGCAAACATTGTTCCGAAAATTCCGATCTGGTAATTTTGACCCTGAAGATAATGAACACCGCGGACGTTACAATGAACTTGATGATGACGAATTGAAGGCACTAGTGGAAGCAAACACGCGAACGGCTGTTCGATAGCTTTCAGAAAAACTCGGCCTAAACACAGGAACAATTTCCACTCAAATGAATCGCAAAGTGGGTGCCGTACGAATTAAACGATAATTTTCAAAAAACCGACGTTTTGAAGTGTCGTCTGTTCTTATTCTTGATCTAATCCTTGAGCGCAACAATCTTGATCTAAGTGTGAAATGCGACGAGAAGTGGATTTTATACGACAACCGGCGACGTTCAGCTCAATGTTGGATTTACATCAGCTTCCACAGCACTTCCCAAGGCCGAAATTGCACCAAAAAAGGTTATCGTGACTACTTGTTGATCTGCAACCGGGTTGATCCATCCCAGCTTTTTGAATCCAGGCGAAACAATCACGCGGCAGAAAAGTATTGTCAACAAATCGATTAAATACACTGTAAACTCCAGCAGCAACGATAAGCATTAGTCAAAAGAATAGGACCAATCCTTCTCCACAACGCCTCGCCTCACGTTGCGGAAACGGCGCTGCAGAAGTTCGACGAATTGGGCTACGAAACTTTGTCTCATCCGTCATATTCACCAGACCTCTCGCTTACAGCCTATCACTTCTTCAAGCACCTTGACAACTTCGTTCGCGGAAAATGTTTCACCAACCCCGTTGGCGCAAAAAATGACCTCAACAGACTCATCGCTTCCAGAATTTCAGAATTTTATGCAAATGGAGTAAACAAATTTGTTTCTTATTAGAAAAAATGTGCTAATTTTAATGGTATGTGTTACTTAATAAGATTTAGAATGAAAAAGTTATGGTTGTTTAAAATTTCCATTTAAAGTCGGACATTTCATGTGTTACAAACTAATGATTGGGACTGGTAATGGCAAGATTTCTGTCCTTTATCTGTGCAAGTCTCCTGTTCCAGAGAAAAATAAGTGGGAGATAAATAACGAGAAGAGAACCGTTATACATACTTCTCAATAGTACTTCTGCTGAACAAGGTAATCTAACGCCGAAGTAATTATTTTCTGCACGCTTGCCGTTTAATCCAAGTCAAGCTTTTGGCAAGCGACTTAAGTATACAGAGGAAATAATCAAGAAGAAAGTAGTGAGTGTAAGCAACAGCTAATATGACTAATATTGATTAGATCACTGTTTACGACCTGTCTTTCACATATATTACGGGAATCCCACCACGTCCCGAATCGGATTCGTTTCCTTGTATCTATCATCCATGAAGGTCCTCTAAATTCTATGTGTGGATTCGGCTGCCGCTTGAGGACCTTCATTTCATCTTGAATGTCGTAGATGACTGGTGGAGTCGATTGTCCTTGAAGGGGATAGTCCGGCTAGAACGTTTTCTATTGGATTGCAGAGAGTGATTTTTCCCATACAAATCCGGCAGCAATTTCCAGACCGTGGAGGCTCGACAGGCTTGGAGCTCGGGCGGGATCCAATCAGCAACGTGCTCGTGATGATAGACTTCACTACAACTGTGGTCTCCGCTCCCCATAAACTGTAACATAAACTGAATAGCATCAGGGTATCAATATATACACTAACAGCAATAGAAGAAAGTCCTTTATACAAGTATTAAATTCTCCAACTCCTCAAGTTCCTCAGTTATCGACGAATTACTATTTATTGTGAAAAATTTGCATCGTTTACTACGACAGTAGTGGATCCGAATTATGAAGTCGTTCGAAGTTCGCAACAGACCTAGAGCTAGGCGCTAGTGTTACAAGTTAGTTCCCTAGCTTTCGAAAAAGCAACGGGAAACTAGATGCGACTAAGGCGATGATCTTGCGAAGCCCCTACTTGTCAACACATATAGTGGATGTAAATTAACTGCTCATCGTATATCAGGAGTTTTCTGTCTGAAATAACAGTGAGTACGGAGGCTTACTCGCAGCTGATGAAGAACTACACTGCTTCGTACGAAGATACCGATATCCTCGATCTCGCGTGTGATTATTTTCGACAACACTGTTATGAAACTCCTGGAATAAAGATCTAAACTATAATAGCCACCTTAAAATACAAAAGAATATCACGAACAATTTGAAATCTCCATTTCCATGGAAGTCTTTCATGAAACTGCAACGTCTTGCAACATCGGTGGGGAAGAACACCTCAATAAAAATAAGGAAGGATTAAACCAGCAGACACTAAAGAAATTGTGAGTAATAGGACCCCTACTAAAAGGATTAACCTGATAGAAATCTTGTTGATTCTATCAACTCAAAAAGAAAAAAGAGATTAGAACAATTCCGGTTTTGGCGTAGAGAATTTCGCCCATGAATTTCCAAAAATGTGAGGAAACCCAACGCAAAGCTTTTAATAAGTGCCCATTTCACCTCTTGAACCTAACAAGCTCAAAAACAAACTCAGTAAAAGTTTCTGAATAGCTGCCTTCCATATGCCGCATTTCTGTTCTCACCAGTCAACAAATTTTCAAAAATGCAGCTAAACAACAAATCGTTCGAGACGCAAACTTAAACACTCCAAAACCCTTCCAACATGTCATTAATATTAAGCCATAAGTTACCATTGATCTCACAAGCATCGTAGTGACACTTAGAACAATGCAGTAAATGTATGCTTTCTTAAGGACTATGTCTGTCTAAGGGGGGCGCGTGTAGCGCAATGCTCGGAGGCGTCCTGTAATACACATCGGATCGATCCCCGCGCCCCAAGCCCACCAAGCCCTCCATATTTCCGGAGTCGGCAAATGGGTACCAGACTTGTCTGAGAGGATAACAGCACTGGCTCGATACATGGGTAGACAACCGCGATTGTGAAGGCCAGATATGCATTCAGTCATCTCCAACGATGCATAATGAAATTAAATGCATAGTGCGTCCTTTAAATATTGATCAACGCCCAGAGCTTTACCGTTTATCCTTTTTATGTCCGTCTAGTCAAGTGATAACAATCAATCACCAAGAAGAAAAGCACTATCATATTTCATAATAGAACGAACCAAATCAATATCGGAGTCATCACACGAGAGGCCATTGACGGATGATCCAACTTGCACGAAGCGGGAGTTGGAAGACAATACTCGCTCCGACAAACGATTGAGTATGTTAAGCGTTGAACTCTGTAACATGAAGAAATCTGTACAGCTTTTAGCACTTGCCATATGATTTGGCCATGGGACATTTCCCGTTAGTCTGCCCTAGGAATAAGGTCTGTACACCGCAAACTATTTTCCTAGATCGATCTGCTTCTTCCAATTTCCTGTCTAGAGCTTCCAGTCGGGTTTGATGCCGTTGCTTCGCATCTTCAATAAAAGAAACAGCGACTCGTCCTACAACCAGCTATTCTAGGCACAACCAATTCTAAACAAAAAAAAAAACGAAAACAAGGGAAAAGTCGAGGGCAAGGCTTCGACATAAAGACTCTACGGACTCACTGTGTTTGCAACTAATGATTTACCCACCTTTCCTGAAATCGGAGGCAATAGGTCGCAATTTCTCCGCGAACCGACAAGAGATGGTTCTGAACACCATAGGCGGACGAAGAGAGCACTTTCTGCGGAACAGAGTCACATGTCACTGGTGACCCAGCCCCAAGATGAAGCTTCTGCCGAATCCTTGTGTGTACGTGCAGAGCACAGCGACCGAGCGGACTCTATCAATAGGACTAGCCTATTTCAATGGAGCGCACTATTTCCACAGCTTAGCTGTGAGTGTTTGTAAGCCACTGTCGTAACCACTAATTCCTGAATACTTTTCTGACTTTTACAACCTGGATGCTTAAATTCCAATCGGAAAATAAAAGCATCGTTTGATCGATCATGGCACTTCGTTGCGGAAGGGAGAGATTTGAGCAAATGACAGTCGAGATCATCGGATGCAGGCAGTGTTCGTTGAACAAAGTCAAATGTTTTCAGGGTAAAATGTTTAGATTTTTAATAGAATTGTACGCTCCTCTTGAGGAAGGTACGGTTCTGAGATGATCTAAATAGCAGAATTCCTGTCGGACTCTACCTGTTCAACTGGTCGTGCTTCATTCATCCAGTGTCCTCGATTGGATTTCTTCAAGTCGGTCGGGTTCGCAAGTCCTGGACTACTTTGGTAACCAGAAAAGTGGACATAAAAATGGCGAAGTACACTCCGTACATACTGTGAAATCGGCTGCAGGACGGTGTCATCACCTTAGTTGAATGGTGAACGAGTTCTCTTTCAGCTGGATTCGAGCTATTCTGTGTATGTTGTTAGTAATTTATGTTCTTTTCCTATATATCTCCTAAGTTCTTCTTTGTTCTGCTGCACGCTTTGGCACCTTTAGAAGTTTTCTGTGTGGTAAAGTTAAACTGAAAAAGTACATTCTTCGATATAAGTTGACGTTACGGTGGATGCCGTATCAAACCAAATAGTGCTACCATAAAAAAAGAATAAAAGATAAAGTCCTCGGCGCTGATCAATCTCTTAGGGATTCGGCACGTATTCGACTTCATTAAGCACCGTTGGAGGTGACTGAATACATATCTGGCTTTTACAATAACTCGGGATAGCTTACCGATGTATCGAGCCAGTGGTGCAATCCTCCTAGACAAGTCTGGTACCAATTTGCCGACTCCGGAAGGATGGAAGGCTTGATGGGCTTGGGTGGGTGGATCGATCCCATGCGTATTGCAGAGCTCCTCCGACCATCGCGCTACACGCGCTCTTAAGTGTTAGCATAAACTGTGGTAATGCAAGTCACTGTGGAACCACTATCTCTATTATTATTTTTACTTTATTAATTTTTTATCGTTATTTATTTTTTATTATTACCAGCTACTGTATTTCTCAAATCAGGTCACTCAAGAGCGAGGTGGAAACGAAAGATGAAACCAGAATTTGTCGAGGTCTATGGGTGTTCTGTCCCAATTTTCTTCGACTTTACAGTCTCAAAGCAATCAAATTCACAATTCCTTCACTATCATGTATAGAGGAACATGCAGGTACCCAAAACATCACGAGCACTCCTTCCTATCAGAACGTTATCCAACCACGTACTATTAACCACCGAGGACTTCTCCATAAACGCTTCTTCTGCAATTCTAAACATTGTTAATTTAAAATCTTTCTGGAGGAAAAATCTTAGTCTTCAACAACGTCGTAGAAGCAAATCCGTATCGGTAATCATACGGAAATTACACATTGTAGCAAATTCCACGTCAATATTGTGCTAAATTCAGCACCGACTTTAATTTAACCGTGGTATGTAAGAGCAGTAGTTTGGTTTCACCACTAAGCTTAAGTTTTCCAATTCCCGAAGAATGAGAGGCCCGCTAAGCGACCATCAACGCACTTTTCAAATTACGCACCTGTAAGTCGCTATCCCTCCCAAAGGCTTGTCGACTCATCATGGATAGGAGGGGTTCCTAGGTGCCGGGCTGCGATGTACAGCAGGGAGATTCATCCCGTTAGCAGGACCACCCAAGCAGAGAAGGAGTCCTGAGTTTCCATTAGGAAGCCCAGCTAGGAGTAAACCAATACCATGATCCACCACTGTCTTGGTATCAAATTAGTCGCAAGGTGGCAAATCGCCCCTGATCCATAACGGTGGCGACTACCTGTAGCGGTGACGACCTGGAGCAGACTTTTGCCAGGTTGACCTTGGGACTCCAGAAAATCGCGGTGGGTAAGCCAGCAAAACTCCGGAAAAATGGAGATTATGCTAGGACCGGCAAAACCAGTGAAGACGGGCCATCCAAACGAGTCGCTATCACAATTGTCACGCGAACATGATTGAAGTTCTTAGAACAAACTTTTATGTAATGATTAGATTGAAAACCTCGTCCACTTCTCACTTACCACGTCGCGTAGAAGACAACATTATGGTGATTCTGCATATTTATTAGTAACAAAGATCCGAGAACTGGGTGACAGTTACACAGAAGAAAACTAATGATAATTCATAGATACCAATAAGATGCCGCTAGAGTACATGTAGTCATCTCCAAGGCTTGTCTACAACGTAGTTATCACACATCGTAAACACTGGGAGGTCTTGTTAAGTACGTACATGATCGAGGACAATCAAAACGTCGCAGAACAACTAAACAAGTGCCAAAGTGAACGTCTGATTTAAAAGTGAAACTCAAGATGAAACAATGCGAATAAGTTTCTGTAGATTACCGCACTCTAATTCAGACTTCAGTGCAGAAAATGATTGTTGCACAAGATATGAGCTATTCTGTACGTTACATCTGGAATTTGGGAAAGGGCTCTCTCTAAAATAGGGATCAATAAGCTCAATGGAGCCGCACTTTTCGTCCTCGGTGAACCTGAATGGAATATGTAAGGCAAAAACTATTTTATTCCACAAGTAGAAATATTCAAGAATTAACATTTTCTCCTAATACCTAACAAAATTCGAAAAAATAGGAAAACGTAACAACCTCCGGTAGCATTTTCCAGTTGTGTCTATCGCAAGGCTGAGTAAATCCATCTGACTGTAGTAGTCAATCATCTTCACTATTACTTCAGCAGCTGATACATGATCTTCTAAAGAGTTGGAATCCGTGGTATATCGTTCCGAGATCTAAGGAGAGAAACTGTTGGCATTTCAAAACAGTAATTCACACCCAACTGACCAAGTTTTCACCTATTCCGTTTTTAATTGGGTAAAAAGGATCTTAAATGGCGCTCTCAATGCCGTTGAGCCTTACAAAGAATCTTAATGAGTCTAAAGGGCAAAAGATAAAGCTTACTGCTTACTGCAGTGCTGCTACCCTCCCAGACTAGCCTGATACCAATTCGCTAACCCCGGAGTGGTGGAAGGCTTGGTGGGCCACGGGCGCAAGGATTGATCCTATGTGTATTGCAAAGCGCCTCCAACCACTGAAGCCACACGTGCCCTTCTTGATTAATCTAGTTAACATTGTTGACGATTTTAACAAAGCCACCATACTGTATACATGAACAAAGACAAGCTAACGCCGATATAGCAGATTCGGCGTTGAAGAGAAACATCTCTGAGACTTCCTAGCCGTGGAAATTCCGGGCGATCCAACACTCACGCTTCTAAAAAACATTGCAATCTTCGCAAGCAGGATTTATAGTAGAAATCCTAGGAATGAGATTTCCACTTGAACAACTTCCTTTCAAATGATGCCATTGATAATTTCACTCCTGGGTAAAGTGATTGTTGCAACAGCTGTGATGGAGTTCTATACCTTCCTGTGAGGTCAGAGGTATACCTTTATCATATACCCCACTCATTGATTCATTCGAACAGCTTAAGAACCACCGCTTCCTAAGTGCAAGATTCCATTTCTCACGGAAAGCAGAAAGTCGCTAAATTCAAAAACCGAAGTACCAGAACCACCGTAAACTGGGACTTATTCAATTCATTAATCGGCTACTGGGAAGATGAAGTTGCCGATAACATCGACGAATAGTACGATCGGCTCATTCAACATCTTCACGTTAGCGCTATGAAAGCTGAGAGTTCGAGAGTCTCCAAGAGATGTCTGTCCCCAGAAACACTTGAGCTGATACACCAGCGTGGAATCGCACGAGCTGCAGGCAACCGCGAATTAACGTCCGAACTTGCAAAACAATGCAGAGAGGCGATAAAAGAAGATCTTAAAGAGAGAAGAGCAGCAGTAATGGTCGAAGCTGCAGAGGCTGAGAAAAGCATTCGCAACGCCCACGGAAGTTTCACCAATTACAAGACCAAGATGATTGCACTCCGACGCCCAGACGGAACAGTTACAGTGTCCAGAAAGGCAATGGAGAAAATCATTCACAAGTACTACTCGGATCTCTTCGATAGCCACGTCCACCTTCCGTCATATTAAATAAAGGAGGATGGATATATTGTACCACCGGCTCCCCCTTCCAAAATCCAACATGCCATTTCGTCGGTGAAAAATCGAACAGTACCAGGTTCCGACAGGATAAGATCAGAACACCCGAAGAACCTTCCGCCAGTCCTCGTAAACACACTGGCTCGGCTCTTCACAGGTTACCTGTCTGAATGCATGGTCTCTACTCAGTGGAAGACCAGCAAGACCGTGTTATTGTTCAAGAAAAGTGACCTACACTATAACGGCAACTATCGCCCAATCTGCCTGCTGTCTGTCGTCTACAAATTCAACTGAGACAGAAGCAGTGATGGAAGCGCTTGATAGTCAAGGAGTTCCTACTAGTACATAAAAGTTCTTCGTGAGTTGTACAAAAAATTTCACAACGAAGATATCACCATTCTACAACGATATTATCACTGATGTCAAAAGAGGAGTTAGGCAAGGCGATACTTTCTCGCCGAAATTACCGCCACCCTCCAGAACGTCATGTGAGCATTGGAATGGGATAATATGGGAGTGAAAATCGATGGTCGGCAGTTACATCATCTTCGCTTTGCTGATGACATCGTCCTTATAGCACCAAACATTAGCCAAGCGGAAAGTATGCTTGCCGACTTTGATAAAGCCTGTGGAAAGATTTGTCTTCGACTAAATTTCACAAAAACGATGTTCATGAAGAACGGATTGGCTTCGTATGCACCATGCACGCTCAACGGAATGAACACCTCTGAGTGCTCCAGTTATGTCTATGTCTATCTAGGTCGGGAAATCAATATAATGAACGACTTAGCTCCAGAGCGGAGCAGAAGGAAACGAGCGGCTTGGGGAGCTTTCAAGAGCATCGGGGATGTAGTGAATAAGGCAAAGAACACCCGACTCTATGCCCACCTTTTCGACACAACGGTACTTCCTGCCCTAACGTATGCGCAGAAACCTGGTCGCCGCGTAAGCAGGACGAAAGATCACTCAGCGTTATCGAATGCGCAGTCGAAGGAACGGTGCTAGGAGTATCCCGTTTCGCAAAAGTAAGGGATGGGATCCGAAGCTCCGACCTGCGTCAATGATCAAAAATCAAAGATGCCGTTCTGTACTCCAAACAGTCGAAGATAAGGCGGGCCGGACACGTAATTCGTATGAATGACAACCGATGGACAAGAGCCGTTAGTGAATGGCTCCTTCGGTATGTTAAACGCACTACAAGAAGACTACCGACGCGATAGTCGGTGTATTTCACGAAGAGCCTAGAAGAAACATATGATGCTCGACGAGTCTCTACAGCGTGCAGAACTGACTGGTCTACTCTTGCACGGAACAGGGAAAAGTGGAAGATTTACTGGCGCCCGCTCGAGTCACTCGACGATTAACGGGACTACAGGTGATACCCTACTCAAGACACATACAGGATGATTGGAAGGTAACTCCTTGTTTTAAAGTGCTTATGATTTGTTTACATACCGTAATATTCTCAAGTTTAAGTGTTCTTTAATGTATGTGAATTAGATCTATGTTGGCGCCCTTACCTCAGATCAATTACTTTGTTTGAAATGTCGAAGCTCTACAAGACTGGACGTCTATCTTATAAGAGCCCGATCAGTCAACGGCATCTTATGAAATTTGTTGATCAGTTGTTACCATGCAAAAATAGTAAGATGGTGGAGGATTATTAAAGGAAGACTGCTCAAGGTGACATGAAAGATGACCGAGATCTGTCGTGCAAAATTCATGGTTAAAGGATTTGCAACTGCGCTTCGAGAAGGAAGTACTTCTTCCAACTGCAGTGACGAGAATATGGTGCAGGCTATTCAACAAATGGTTACTCATAACCCAAAAAATGTCAATTTAACAAACAGCAAGGGTGTGTTGGCTCTCCATTCACTGTTCTACTAACACGAATTAGAAGAAATTAAAGGCTGAATACAAGGATTTATGGCTTCCATTCCACAAGGGTTCCTGGCGAAATTCGTTGGTGAGGCTCCCAAGGGGCTTGAGAAGCTGCTAGTGAATGGTGGAGCCCATATCAAAACAAAAACCAAACTCAACGCTATGCACTTTATCTATCTCTCAGCATAGCTGTGGTTGTATCTCGCATAATATCCTGCCGTAAAACTTGTAGTAGGCAGAAAATAAAAAGTGAAAACATTGCTACGCACTTTCTCCATATATTCAGTTCTTGAAAAATTTACAGTTAAGAAACATATAAAGCTAAAAAAAAAGGATAAAGCTCTCGGCATGGATCAATCCCTGAGAGATGCGCCGTGCATTCCACTTCTTTAACTACCGTTTGGAGGTGATTGAATGCATATCTGGCCTTTACAATGACTCGCGGTGGCCTACCGAGGTATCGAGCAAGTGCTGCTATCTTCTCGAACAAGTCTGGTATCAATTTTCCGACCCCGGAAGGATGCAAGGCTTGGTGGGCTATGGGCGCGGGGATCGATTCCATGTGTGTGTTGCAGGGCGCCTCATACCACTGCGCCACACGCGCCCTATAACATATAAAGAAACATATCTTTTCATTTTATTTCACACGACCGTCCTTTCACTTCTACTGTGCGGATCCCAGTAGTTCTTGCACTGGATTCATTTCCCCACATCCACCATCCACGACTGTCTTCCAATTTTCTGAGAGTGAGTTCGGCTGCTGCTTGAGTACTTCCTTTTCGTCATGAATATCGTTGAATGCTGGTTTCTCTGGAGTCCTGAGATAAACGGCCTAGAGCCCTTCCACTTGGATTGCACAGAGTGAACTTTTTCCAGACAAACCCAGTACCAATTTGCCGATCCTGGAGGGATGAAAGGCTTGGTTAGCCCAGGACTAAATCGAACCAGCGCCGTGCTTCTGATGAACGACATTTCTACCACTGAGCTACCCGCTCCGAAACATATTATGAGATTTTTTAAACAGGGAGTTAGATTTCAGTCATCTCGTAGGTGGCTACCTTTCTAGTTGAAATTTTTCTACTTGGAGATGGCACGAAATAACGGATATTTCTTAATAATTTACTGTTTTACTACAGAACTGAAGCCTAAAGAAGACACTAAGATCCGTTATGAGCAGTGCTATCTCATGTGATAATGGAAAAACGTGGACTTGTAATTACACCTTTACCTTCAGGCAGATGCTTAGATCAAGAGATTTTAAACTCGCGGTAAAATCTCGTCCTAGCTGACTCAAACAGTCACCAAAATGTCAAAACGTCACCGAAAACCGCAGATTTCCACAAAGCTGCTGACGAAAATCCCCACTGATGACTGGTATGAGCGAACTGATACTCCTTTTTTTGTCGTGAATGAAGGTTGTCTTTGGCAGCTAAGAAAACCGACGTCAAAATTGGGACTTCTGCTGTAATGATACAAGAAGCCTTTAAATTTATCGATGAGCTTAACATAAACCTATTACACCACGTTGAGCTACTTTCTAAATCAAAGCCAGAACTGAGTTTTTTCTTCAGATACAAACGTAGAGTTGTCAAAGTTTCGAAATCACTACATGTGATCAACAGCATAGTAGACAGAAAAATAGGGGAAACTGTAAAGATTTTGGATAAATACAGACGGTATTTCGTTCTAAACACCACCTGTATAAATGGCTAACAGCTACTAACCTCTGTAGTCAAGCGTTCTGCGACATTTTGCCATGGTACCGTTGGCTGCAGATATGGACATGAAGAAATCATATCAGGCAACAAAGGCAAGGGAGTAGCCTTAAATTTTACAAAAGACCATTATTGGCGCAAAATAAATCTGTGATTTTGTCTACTATGGAACGAATTTTCTATTAAAAACAAGAAATCTTGCTGATCCTAATTCCGCGCAAACCCTTTTGTTTTCAAAAGTTATTCCTGACATAGCTTTTGAAGCAAAGAAAAAATGAAGATGAGTGGAAATTTGGGAATATATGAACTGAAGTGTTCGTTATCTACGTCGGTAGATATACTACTTAACGTCCTAACAAATTTATTTCTTCTGATATGAAATTAGTAAACACGGCCCACTCATACCAGATATACTTGCTTGGATACTTGGACGGACCATCGTCACTGTTTGTGGGGGCCCCAGCATAATTTCCATTTTTCGGAGATTTACTGGTTAAGCCTTTGTGATTCCTTGGAATCTCGAGGTCAGCCTGGCCAAAGTCGGCCCCAGGTTGTCACCATCACAGGTAATCGCCGTCCTTGTGCATCAGGAGATTTGCCACTATGTGAATAGTTTGACACCGTGGTGGTGGTGGACCCCGGTATTGGTTTACTCTTAGCTGGGTTTTTTTATGGAAACGCCAGACTCCTCAGCTTGGGAGACCCTGTCGGCGGGGGGGACGAATCCTTCTGTGTACGTCGCAGCCTGACATCCAGGAACATCTCCCAGTCACGATAGTCCCGTTGAGAGGCATTCCAAATATTGATGTCGATTTTTCACCCTTCAATTACTGCCTATCTTTTTTCATGGCAAGCTATTATGTGAAATGCAAACATAAGTGCGCTGAGATATGAGCAAAGCTCTAAACTTCGAGCGAGCTTCGAACCCGCGATTATTTATTCCACGAGCTCACGTATTATCCGTTGCACCAACCGACCCCTTTGCTTTGCCCTTCTCTCAGGCAGTTTTTTACTTCAACGGTGTTATCGATCCTGCTACAATACACATATGGCCGAGTTTTGCTCATATCTCAGCGTGCTTGCGATAGATATCGATTTCTAAGTTTCCTACTAAACCTTGTTAAAAAACACACCTGGAGAAAATGGAGAGCCAACATATTTAAATGGTACGAAGAGAAAAGACCATGACGACTATCTTTTAATCCAGCAGCTTTGAAAAACGCATTTATCCAATGTATATTAATTGGAACGATCATGCTGAACTGCAGAAGAAAATTTGTCCTTCTTCTACGAAATGACGTTAAAAAGCCCGACTATGCTAGTCACAAACCTCAACACAGGCCCTTACAAAGAGTGAAGAGCGAATGGAGGGAATATTGTTGAACTGGAGATCGACATTAACACCATCACAGCTGCGAAATTTCAGTATAGGTACCTTAATAAACTTCATTGCCCTAACTCTGTGCTGTTCGACAACTACTCACGTTGGAGGATACCAGTTGCTGAATTGAGTTGGGATCCACCAATTTCTTACTCCTCAAAACATCGGCGACAGCATTCATTTGAGTCCTGAAAAGTTTTAGAGAAGTGTCGCAATGTCCCAGTTAAAAAGGCCGACATTCTCAGTGCATCAAAATACTTTCTAAAACGTTGGTCTCTTTTAAATTTCTCATTGAATATCGATTGCTTCGCTTCCTGATGGTCCGTTACGAGCACCTAAACGAAGCATTGAAGCCAGTATGGACCTGAAAACCTAAGAAAGATACCGGAAAAAACCCACAATGTCAAGGTCTGAATTTTTGCTCCCTAAGCCGCTTACGCTACTTCCAATAGGCACCACCACTTTTTCCATCGTTGATAAAGCACTTCTCAACTTGACCAGATATTTACCAATCTATATAGCAACATTTAGAAATGTATCGAAATCCTACAATTATCTAATAAAAGGACAAATCTCTCCGCACTGATCAATCCCGGAAGAATGCGCCATGCATTCGACTTCATTAGGCATCGTTTGGAAGTAATCGAATGTATACCTGGCCTTTACAATGACTCGAGGTGTCCTAGCGATGTATCAACACAGTGATACTATCCTCCCAGACAAGCCTGGTACCAATTTTCCGACCCCGGAAGGATGGAAGGTTTGGCGAGCCAGAGGCGCCGGGATCAATCCCATGTGTGTTGCAAGACGACTTCGACCACTGCGCCACAAGTGCTCAATTATCTAATAGAAATAACAAAGTATGAAAAGTGGAAAGTAGGACTTCATGACTAAATTGAAAAAGTAGGAATTAGTCTTACAATGAGACTATTACTGAAGAACAATTGTACTCTTCGCCTTTGCGCCTTTGAGAGCTCCAAATCCCATCGAATAAGGCGTTTCCGATGCTTATGAATAAAGTCGGTGCTGAACTGATAGTTAATCGCATTAGTGATGGTGGAGTCTGGTAGAGAAGAAATGACTAAAACAGTGCTGGTAAAGAGGACAGAAAGGAGCTGAAAACACGAAGTAAGCAAAAATGAACTACGGACCTTTTCGCATTAAATAAGGAGCCGAATGCACCAATGTCATATAAAACGTCTAGTACTGTCTTAAAACAGTGAACAGCTCCCTCAAGAATGCGACAGACTCCACGTTTTGCGTCGATCAGATCTGGAATGGATTTTAAATCACGAGACAACATTAGAGTGGACTCGACCTTCAAACACTGCCTAGAAGACGTCACTTTTCCTTAGATTGACGAAGTTGAATAACGACAGAGCTGGACCTTTCGGAGCTGAGGCGACACCTTATCAACGGTGACAAATCAATAGACACGAACTCAGCCAAACATGACTCTTTGGAACCTTTGAAATTGAGTCAAACAATTGCACGCAACATATAAGGAAGTAGATTAGTGGACTTGCCGACAGGATACCCGCACTGTAATACCCTGGGCCAGTGTCCGCACCTCCACTTCAGCGGACTCCTGTGTCCTAACGAATACGAAACTGCCTCACCTTGTGCGTATACCACTTGTTTCCCTGTAATATTTCGTAATCAGCGTGCGCCTGGCTCAGTGCAGACATGGGATCGATAGCCGCGTCCCTAGCCTCCGTCCCTCCGGGGTTAGCAAATTGGTAGCAGGCTAGTTTGGGAGGATAGCAGCACTAGCTCAATATATCGGTAAGCCACCGCAGTCATCGCGAAGGCCAGATATGCATTCAATTAGCTGCTCCAAACGATGCTTAATGAAGTCGAATGCATGGCACATCCTCAGGGATTGATCAACACCGAGAGCTTTATCCTTTTTTATCATTTATTTCATACTCTCTAGGAAAGAGTTCTTATTAGGCAAAATTTTAATAGGTAGGCCAACTCCAATTATTATCGGAATATCCAGAACAAAGGAGACATAGAATTAACGTAACAATATGAGCACATGCTAAATATATCTACGACGTTCCATTAGCAAAAAATGAAAACCATCTACTTTATAATGCTGGTGCAAACATGAGACCAGGACTGAAGAACACCAATCCTTCTCAGTGGCTCCAATCATGGCTGGAAGGTGTACTTGGGTGCCGTACCAAAGGCAGCTGATGCTCACTAGTGCATTGGAGTCATTCAAGCCGGGAATAAATTCGACATCTGCATTCGGAAACGCGTTCAGGAATGGACCAAAACCAGACATGGCCTTTGCCCCCAATGAAATTATTCAAAAGATGGCAATCCTCCAATGAACAAATGCCCTTATACGGGCTTCCCGTGCTGTTCTACTCTTCGTAAAAAGGATCATTAAAACACACCCAAGTATAGGTGAAAATCGTTTCGTCTAGGAAGGTTTTTTGCAAAGTCCATCTATTACAGTCCGCTTCACAAATTCTAGGCTGTGACCTAGTCACAAAAATGGTACGTAGTATAAAAGAATGTAGAACAAGAGAAGGTCTCTTAGCCAACTATGTCAGGTTCTCAAATTCTCCAGTCCTCTAGTTACCAGATGTTAATAAAGGATAAAGGATAAAGCTCTCGGCGTTGATCAATCCGTGAGGGATGCGCTATGCATTCGGCTTCATTACGTATCGTTGGAGGTGAATGAATGCATATCTGGCCTTTCCAATGACTCGCGGTGGCCTACCGATGTATCGAGCCAGTGCTGCTATCCTCCCAGATAGTACCAATTCGCTGACCCCTAAGGGATGGAAGGCTTGGTGGACCATGGGCGCGAGAATCGATCCCATGTGATTACGGGGCGCTTCCGACCACTGCGCTACACGTGCCCCTACCAAATTTTAATGCGAGTTACATAGTACTATAAAAATGACTCCGTATTTTTTTAGGGGCATGCTGCTACTTTTCGATGTATGTTGCTATGGTCAACTATACAAACACAAAACCGGAATTGTTTTGCAACTTATATTGCCTCTATTTCGAATTAGCATTCGTACATCAATCAAAGTACCAGTCAATGAACTACTAGGAAAGCCAATTTTTATGCACATTATTAATTGTTGTTAACAGTTTGCCACAGACCACCCTGGTATACCATCTGCACGAGCAATCGATTACGTAGAAAACTGCGGTAAAAAAGCTCTTTCTAGCAAAATGAACCGCAGAGAACGAAATGGATTGGTTGCAATACACTCCGTCCACTTTGTCCGCTCCACCACGCATTTATAGCCAACTTTCCATTTCGATCATGTTGTCTTTAGTATCGTAGAGGCGATCTACTGGACACTTGGCGTACATAATAACTTGCGGGAGCTTATCGATGTATTAAGTCAGTGTTTCTATCCCCCACACAAGTCAGGTACCAATTCGTCAAACTCGTACGCACAGCGAACTTGGTTAGTCACAAGAGATGAACTGAAGAAACGACCGTGCGTATAGCATTAACATCTCTAACCAGTACGCTATGTGAACCTCATCATTCATCCACAGATCAGGAAAGCTCTTTACTGCACCTACGGAATAAACTATTTCTCGAATGAGTTTGCTAATCAGTGCAAAGAGGCCGCTGCTGATGAAGACAGAAAAAAGATAGCCAGAGTCCCACAGGTGATGAGAATACTAAGAGCGTTTCCACGCCCAGCAGTGTCAGGTATAAACTCAGGTATGGCTGCCGTTGGTACACAGAATACCATAAAGACTGTCGCTAACGAAAAGGATAGATATGCTTCGAGATAAAGGCGAGATGGAAGCAGGAACTGATTTCAATTCAAAGCTAGTGCGTGGTAAAAACAGGCGTAAATTGGACCCAAACATTGGGACTCTAGCTCCTAACATACACTCACAATGAAAAGTCGTTAAACGTGGAGGAAAATACTTGCAATCGACAGAATATTAGGTGGACTACCAGTTATCTCACCGCTGAGGATCCGAAAAAGGAGTACGACCTGCAAAGGAAAGCCCTTGATTCGGCCTAGCACTAGGCCGGCGAAGCCATCTACGTCTCGGAAATCGGTAAACTGGTGGCAGAGAGAATCCCTTGGATCCATAAAGACCGGCAATTGTCAAGTGCGACGAATGAGAACGCTCTAACAAAGCTGTAGGATTTCAGAAAGGAGGACTAGATCGAATAGCATACGACGACCTTTAGACATGAAGACAAACCTCAACTAGAAACCGAACTCACACAAATCTGAAGATCTGTTTGATTGGCCAACGCAAAAACAAAAGTGGAATAGAAGAAATGATGAGATCTCAACAATACGTCGAGACTCATAGAAATAAATAGGAGAAATATAACAGGCTAAACACATCAAAACCATCGACGACCGTGTAGGAATCATCACAGAAGATCAGCGGCTGTCATTCAACGACTTAAAAATCCTTTCCAACTACAAATGCAGCTAAATGCCGTGGGCCACAAACAAATCCACTGGTAATATAGGTGATCGCCCAGGAGCATGATTTCATAAGATGCCTTTTGGAGCCCACTCCGCTGTTCCTCTTGTCCATTGCCCAACTTTTATGACTATGTAATCACTCTACGTTTCGCTTCAGATGTGTATTCCCCTACATTTCGCAAACGATATTTCTGAAGGTCTGAACTGCATATCCTGTCCTGGAGTTACGTGTTGTGGTTACATTTCATTATTCATCGCTCGGACGACCTCAGGCAGACTTTGGCCAGGCAGATTCGAGACTCCAGGGAACCACAATGGCATGACCAGCAAAACTCGGAAAAAAACGGAAATTATGCTGGGGCCCGACCAGTGAAGACGAACCAACCAAGTATCTAGCTCACCGCTCAAGTGCTCTGTGAGTGGAGCTCAGAATTCTTGACGCGGTTGGAATGTTAATCCACGGACTTTTAGGTTATCTAAAAAGTTAGAATACGGCGTATGATGTTCACCTTCTGCATAAATCCTCCCCCACGTTGTTTTCCTTGCTCGTCGAAAGCAACAGGAGGCATACGTGGGAACTTACCTGTCCAATCACAGAAGAATCATTTCGATTTATTTACTACTTTAACACCAAGGATTCTTCAGCAAGTATGCTTCATCCTCATTTAGGCAATGTTTCATCCTTTTTCCACCTCATTGAGCACCTCGAGCATTCTCTCTGCTTCACTAGTACTCCTCGGAACGGTGACGACAGTGTGGAGTAGACGAAGTTTTGCATGAAATCGTACGCCGTTTTCTTCCAAATTGACCGACTTCATTATTCACTGCAATACGGCAACAAGTAGCCTTGGCGAAATGGTGTTCCCTGCCGCAACCTTTTGCTTATGGAAATGGATAGCGGTGAACATTAGAGCAGCATCTTCGTAGAAGTTATGACATCAGTCAGTCAAAAATCCTCTCACTTGATGAGCGTTGTCAAGATGAAGAGCATTCGTTTCGACGCAATGGAATACCGAGTTGTGCTCTCTCAGACAGGTTGACCATGTATTATATTCTTTGTCAGAAATGTGTGTAGCTCTTTTTCCGACAAGAAGGAAATCAGCTATGATGTTATCTATTTTAAGAATAAAGCCTCCCTTTATGCTCTTGGTCGAGGCAAACAATCCTCAGAAGACCTTTCGACAGCCGGAGACTTTGGAGAATAGGCTTGGAAACTTGTGAGGAAAAAGAATGTGTATAATGTTCTGGCATCAATTTATTATCAGGTACGAGATGATAGGAAGTTATACCACTTTTTTCATCAGAAGTAATAAAAAGCGGAATACGAAATTCGCATATCTCCTGACGGCATTTGTTTAGACCGTTTCTTTTGAGCAGCATTCTACGATTTTTTTCTCTGCCTACACCGACATAAGTCCTGCACAGATCGTGCTCGTGCATTCAGAATGCATTCCCAGTCGTGTTAACTGCACTGCAGTAAGATGAAATACCACTTTTAATCTCTTCTCCAATCCCTCATTGTTGATAGTGAAGATGGTATCCGAACTTCTTAATTGAAGAATTCAGGCGCAGTCAGCACAGTTTTTAGACACCTTGATGGGCAGATCTTACCCTATCGGAGGATAATGCTTCATCTGCGGATTATGTGGAGAACGGTCCAATTCAGAATTTTCTTTTCATTAATGAACTGATGTTTTCTTCACTGATGATGACAAGACTTCTTTTCCAGCTTACAATCGAATCACGTCATCTCAAGAAAGCGGTGATTGGATTCAACTAGAATGATGATACCAAAGAGTTCTAAAGCATGCTGTCACTTCTGCTTGGCATAACGTATTTGTTCTCTGCATCAATCGTGCCACTAGGTAGTTTCCATGTTCAACTACAACTTTTTGTACCGTAAAACCTACTTCCTGGGAGAGAAATCCTGTGGACATGCGTCCACAACAGTGAATTCCAAATGATCAAGGTTTTTCAGCTATTTAGTGTTGTTAACTCTATATTCAGTTCCATCATCCATTTTTTCCCTAGCAGATTTCGTTGCGGCCTACATCATCTAGCTGGTCGCATAACGTACCTGATGAACTTCCATCTGCTGGACGAGCTTATGAACAACAGCTAGTGGTAATCATCCTCTTTTAAGGGTGGTTGGACCTCATATGAGACCACACGATGCGCAACACATGTGTGTGTGCGTGTGTTTGTTACGAAGCCTATATCGTCGCCATTTCATAAGGGGGTCTTTGTTCCATGAACGTCAGCAGTTCCACTATTTAAGGGAAGCACGTAGATTCTCCCACTTCTGTCTCCTGCACGACGACTAGAATTTTGTACATCATGTAACCTCAAGAAGAACGTGAAGAGCGGTGTCAGAGGTGTTCTATGTGAAGGGCAAAAATCACTCTCCATCGTGACATGGGTGCCTGATTCTGGTTTGTTCCCAACGAGTTCCTAGCTAACTCGAGATATACTGGCCTCCTTGTTCACAGCACATCACTGCAGGCTGTCGTCGTCCCTTGTGAATTGAAAGGAGATAAGAGGGAACCTTCTAATGAAAATACGAATAAGACGAGTAAACAATGGAGGAGTAAACTGGAATAGTTGTAAGTATAATGCATATTTTTGATTGGAGTTACGATAGGAGATCGATAAGACGACTCTGTAATGTCAATCTTAATGAAAGAAGTAATTATCAATGATGCTGAGATACCTGCAAAACTCCAGACTGCAAGTGTGTGCAGTGGGGACCGAACACGATGTTATTTTTTCCGTGGGCTAACGCGTTCACCACGACAACATGCGCGTCCTTCGTTTCGCCATTCTCTACGCCAACTTTCTATACTTGTATATAAATATATGTATATATATGGAAGTAATTAATTTCAAATTCTTACACTCTTCACGAGTATATATGAGGTTGCTAATAGAACATCTGAGTAAAGTTCTAGAGAATTTAATCTTCATAACCTGCCGAATAATAGCCTTCCGAGACAAACTCGAAGCTGATCATACAGCTACCGAAAGCTGTTAGACCTGGGCTCCCATCGTAAACAAAACAGATTTGCTAACCCACACCTTTTATTCGTCAACTTTGTAGGCGAACAGAGACTCTTATGAGCACAAAACACAACTAACATGACAATGTGGCTTACCACAGTCCAAAGGAAGTGAGTAGAACAATGTAAATGACGAGAACAATGGAAAAACAACTAAATATAGGCCTTAAGAATTGTTCCACAATATGTTCGAAATGTTTCTCCTAACCATATTTGACATTTATTACCAAATTTCTTTCAAACTACGGTCATTCCTAAAGAGAACATGTTTTAGTGGGTTATACAACGGTTCTATTATCTAGTAAAAAATCTTTCCTTAAAAAACAAACAGAAATCCCTGTGAAGGGCGTGTCGTCAGTTAAGGCGCTGCGCCCGAAATCGCACAACCGCCTGTCCGAGTCGAGACGATCAAGAAACACCACTTGTTTGTAATTTTATGCCATTGGATGAGGTCCGCATAATCTTTGTTTTGCGTCGAGTTTCTCAATATTCGTGGCAGTCATTTTCCGTATCGACAACAGTAGTCGCAGTTATATTGGTCTTAAAAAATGGCACGTGTAGCGCAGTGGTCGGAGGCGCCCTGCAATACACATAGGTTCAACCCCGCGTCGCAGGCCCATCAAGTCCTCCATGCCTCTGAGGTTGGCAAATTTGTACCAGACTTGTCTAGGAGGATATCAGCACTGGCTCGTTGCATCGGTAAGCCATCCCGAGTTATTGTAAAAGCCATGTATGCATTCAATCACCTCCGACGGTGCTTAATGAAGTCGAATGCGTGGCGCATCCCTCAGGTATTGATCAGCGCCGAGAGCTTTATTCTTTATCCTTTACTGATTTTGAAGTCCGTCTTTTATCTTTCCAGCAAATTGTGGTTTCTGTGGTGACCGGACTAATTGTCGGGTCAATTTGGTTATTTGCATAACTGTTAAACTAGGTTGAAACCTGATTGTTAAAGCACTTAATGAGAACGTCGAGACGACTTTTTGCTTTACAGGTTCAATACGTGACTGTGTTTTCTTTCTGTGTGTTCTGCTGTGTAGAACATCTTCGAGGATCGTTCTGGAATGGTGGTCACGTCGTGCCCCTCTTGGGTAGGAGACGTCGTGTGTCGTCTATGGGGAGAAAGAGGCTCTGTCTTCGACTTGTCTTCGCAGTTGCGAGAACAGCTTAGCGCCATTAAGCCTGAGTCCGACGAACTTCGACTCCTTGCACGTGGGTTTCTTTTCGGTTTGGTCAATGTTCACATAGCGAATGAGCTTACAATCAGTTGGTGTATCATGTCCGACGAAAGCAAGTCTTTATGTGCACTCTCCAAGGGTTGATTTTATTCCATTCTGTTAAATGTGCATTGCGTTTTAAGTGGGATTAGAATTGTAGGGGTTACAAAACCTTCTTTTAATTATTTTAAATTCTTTCAGCGTCGTCACTTATTTGTTGTCTATTTTTTTATAATGGCAGGGTATTATGTGAAATATAACCACAATGATGCTGAGATATTTGCAAAACTCCGGTCCGATGGTGTATGCGGTGGAGACCGATCACTCCATTATCCTGTGCAGCGGCTAACACGTTCAGCACCACACTATGTGAGTTCTTCGTTTCGCCTTTCTATCCGCCTGTAGGGCAATAAGTCGGCTGAGAGAAAAGCGAAACGAAGGACTCGCGTGGTGTGGTGGTGGACGTGTTAGCCGCTGCAAAGGATAATGGCATGATCGGTCTCCACCGCGGGCACCATCGGACCAGAGTTTTGCAAATATCTCAGCATTATTGTAGTTGTCCTTCACATCATAACCTGCCATGAAGAAGGAATAAGCATTAAATAAAAAGTGACGACATTGTGATTTAAATTACAGCTTCATCTTAACTAGGTTTAGTACCGATTTTTCCCCCCACATCAATTCTGTTGACGGGTGATAACTGATAGAGCACCTGTAGGTCTTTTTTCACTTTCCATGCTTTAGTACGTCATCCTGTAAATAATGTTTATAACTTTAAGGATAATATTTTACACATTCGAGAGCAAGTGGAACTACGTTCACTAGACCTTTTAGATCGAGATACCCCAGATTGTAAACAAATGTTCTATTAGAAGCAGTACTCTTCAGTTATTTTTAATGTGACTTTTGTGTTTTCATACACATATTTTTTGTCAGATTTTCATTTTATTTGTTGCTTATTCTTAAGATTGGTTTTTATTTCTAAAAGCAAGACTGAATAGCATTCCTTAAGCGAGCGTCAGCTTTTCCAAACTTCCTCTTTGAATCAACTGTTGTTCGTTATATGTTCTCCACTATCTCCTTCTAATACCCTTTTAAAGCAATTCTTGTGTGATCTGTAAAAAATCTGTAGAAATGCTAGTGTAGTTCTGATTTCTTTCGTTCTTTCCTAATCGTCATCCATAGGTGTGGTCTGTTCCACAAATGCTGACCTACGCGGTGTCGCCCAGGTATAAAGAAAGGGTTTTGCTTCAATTGTAGAAATCCTTGGCACCACGGTGTGTTAGCTGTGTGAGTCCGTATATCCTCTGCACTGAAAATCGGTTATTCGGTGTCCAAGTCGACTGGTCATAATCTTTTATATCTTCCATTTCTCCCTCTAGTCATTTTTTGTGTCCGCTCTACATCTTAAACATACATGCTATAATTCTACGTTTGTAGATGCTTGGATGGCTCGTATTTACGAGTTGTATGGGTTAAGCACGCTTGGATGGTCTTCGTGCAATTGTCGTCCATGGCAATGCCCACTTCGAACATGGCACGTCCACAATTGTTATTCTTTATTTCATATATCGTTTCCAGATTGGTTTTCCCTGGAGTCCACTTCACAGTTTTCTATCTGTTGTCCATCCAGCCCTTGTCTTTGTTGCATAAAAAAGCACTGAGACGAAGGTTGAGTCAAGGAATGAGCGGGTATATCTGTCTCATTGGCTAGTCGATGGCTTTTATTAGCGGCTTGAACACAAGCCGTACTGCTTCTCTGCATACGTAAATTCGTTGAGTTCAATGAATATCAGCCCTCTTTTTTTCGAAAAAATGACGATATAGTCAGGAAAACGAAGACATGACGATGATTTTCCACCAAGACGTGTGTCGTCGTCACAGTTCAGTGAATTCTTTCCTCAGTGAATTCTTCCCCATTTTGATGAGAAAGTGCACAACTTTCGCAAGGTAATGTCGCCTAGTCGGACCTCTATCCCTATAGGGGTGGTATGAGCTCGACCGAAAAGCTCGAAAGGAAATATTCTCGTAGTACTGTAATGGTTATGCTTACGGTCAGCTACGATCTAACTTATGGTAGGGCAGATTCAATCCTTGATCGACACTGGAAGAATTGCACTCGTTTTGCCGCTGTCATACACTTTATTTACTTGTCTGTTTATTTATCTATTAATTAGGTGACCCAACAGCAAATATGTCACACTATGCCGATCCCAGTACCACCTGCATTCGATTCGTATCCTCGCATGCACTATCCGCAGTGGTCTTCAAACCTTATGGCGTGTAGGTTCGACTGCTACTTGGCGATTTCCATCTTTGTCATCCATGCCGGTTGAATGTTTGTTGAGTCGACTCTCTAGAATCCTGAGATAACATTGATAGGACGTTCCCATGTCCATTAAGCAGGGGTTGGTTTGGATCCGGTTGTTTCGAAAATCCCATCGGTTACACTCTTGGGCAGGATGACCGTGCACGAACTTCCCCAAAGTTTTGGAATCGTTTCTTCTCAAAATACTATTTTATGTGTGCAAGAAGCTCAGCAGTGATGCAAACTGATCTTGTGTCTGCGTTTCTCTTAATGCTTTCTATAGCAACTGGAAGTTCAGTGGGACTGTTACTTTTTAGCGGGGATTTTTGAACCCGGGACAGACAAAAATTGTGTGGAATTTCTTTATTATTTCCGTGTCATTGTTGTAGGTAGTAGTAATCCCATCTTTTATCGAGATTGATAGGGGGCATTATATTCATACAGGTCGCAGTGCAATTCTTTAGACTGGCTCTTTCAGCTGTGTCCCGTGGTTTTTTTGTGCCTGTGTTAAGGTAGGTTATTCTGCAATTACATGCGACTAACATTTTTTACCACCCTTGTTAGGTGTACTGCAATAGGATCAAACTTCATTCTTCTTCTGTTTTCGAGAAAACCCTTAGTGGTGATGGTGATGCAATCCAAATTTCGTTTGATGAAGTGGGATATGTTCGGCACTCCTGCGATGTGCGGTTTGTGGTGTTTGTCCAAACTTTTCTTGACCTGCCAATTACACGAACTAAGATTTCCGCTACGAGTGTTCTGATCATACACGAATTGTTTTTTTCCTCCTACCGACATTTAGTAGCGTAATTTTCCCTCTACGAATGAGAAGTCTCATCTAATTGCCATATGTCGTTTTGCTGGTTTTGATTTTTCTTTTAAGACCAACGCATAATGATCGCCACTGGGATCTACTGTTCTAATGTTGTAGTTACACAGTAAGAAACAGTTTTTCTGAGTGGTATTAGACGTGTTCGTTTGGTCCTGAACCGGTGATCTCCTGGGCAACATGAGATCTAGTCTCTTATCACCTGTTTCCTTACTGCCGATGGGCGATGACGCTTCACAAACGAGCTGTTCGTTGATTTCAGTTGAGATATTTCGTGTTTTCTCGTGTCCTGATGTCAGCAAAACTGAAACCTTAGGTCGTCAAGGTAGGTAGTCATCAGCCTTTGTAAATCAGAAAGAAGTTTGCCACTTTGTAAGTAGTTTCTCCACGGATTGCAATGATTCTTGACATTGCTTCATCCTAATTGTAATTTGTTTTGCGGATGGAAACATCGAACTCCTTAACGTGGGGAGCTGCTGTGGCGCGGTAAATCGCCCTGCACATTGCAGTTCTACATCTACGAAAACTGCCAAGACTAGACACTTAGCCACTAGTTCCATTATGGTGCTTTGATGTCACGGATTCACTCCTTACTGGACTAGCGTTTACAGAGTGGCATTTTCATCGAATCTTTTGAACACTTCGTATTCTACGGGGATTAGGACAAAAGGTCAGCATGTCTCTTAGCAGAACTCCTTCCCCGGGACGCCATTATTCTACGAATTTCTGTCATTTGTGTGGGTATTGTAGAAGATTATGACTTCTTTAGGTCACAGCAAGCACTTTCGGTTTGAAGTTTAAGTTCTCTCAGAAACGCTGTGTAAAGTGTAAACACATTTAAAGCTGGTTGATTATATGCTGAATAAAACGGCTGTGAGAAAGGCGAAACGAAGGACCCGCTTGGTATAGTGGTGAACGCGTTAGCCTCCGGAGGGTAATAGCGCATTCGTTCCCCATCGCAGACACCAGCGGTCCGAAGTTTTGCAGATATCTCAGCGTCATTGTGGTTATATATTGAATGTTTTCAAGAACTGTTGCACATTATTGCTCGATAATTGCTTACAGAAGAATTTTTCCTTACCGGTACTATGACGTCTGATCCTGACCGAAGGATGCTAGAATGTGTCAAAATGTTGTGCCACTCAGAGGTAACTAATTCGTGGTGTGCACTTTTACACCCATTGCTATAAAACAGAATTGTTTGGCTTTGACAGCTCATCTCCTGGATCGACTTTCTGAAAATAGTCACTGGATTTACACAATTCCAAAAATCGCGTTGTGTTATAGCACTCTGTGATCTTCTGGAGTCTGAACTTCCTCATCTACAGTAAGTTGTAAAATGTTTGTTTGTTGCATAGTGCGTGATATTTACACGTAAGTTGGATCTTATCCACAGATGCTCGTTCTCTCAAATAAGTGAATGCTTAGCAATGACTGAAGCCATCATTAACGTTTTCGCCTGGATTATCGAAGGAATGCAGGTTAATTTGTCTCTTCTCTATAGGTAAACTGTATTTATGGTTGGCACCTAACTATAGTTCATTAGAGGAGTATCTGTTTGTAGTTCTGTAGAAACTTCGACGACTTTGAAGTGGTTGATGTCGAAAGTGTACTGCATAACACGTTTTCCTCATTTCTTAAGGATCCATTCGTCTTTCGAATTATGTCTTTCGCTACGAAAAAATATTCTTGTAAGTCGATTCGTTGCTTTTTTTTGTCATCTTTCGTTCATCCATTCGTTATCTTTCATATTCCATCTTCATCATTCAGTCTTCATCTTCCAGTTTACCCGATTCTGTCTTGAGGGTTAGTTGTTTTATGTCGTTTTAGCTGTGATCAAATCGTCAATCATAAACAAAATATACGATCTGCAATGTCAGAAAGATGCTACATCACCACAGAAGTATGAGAAGTTACAGAATGATTTTTCAAGGTGTTTTGTTTTCTTCTCTAAACTCAGAATATTCTTTGCATTTTGTCGATATATCTCTGAAATTTTTTTTGATTTCAGAATATTCGAGCCCCTTACCTATGAAAGCTCAGAGTTAACAATCAATTATAATTTTGTAGGTGGCATGGCATTGCAGATTTCTCGTTGAACTATAAATGTGCTAATTTTGGCGCTGTTTCAGCGTCGATCTGGCATACGGTCGCTTACTGCCGTATTTTCGTGTTTCAGAGTTCTTGCTGCAGTAGAGGAGGTATCATTTGGGCTCATGGTCTTCCAATATATTCTATGTACTGAATAATAATTTGTTCAGGTTGCCGATACAATGCTTTTGTTTGGACAGATTAACGCCATCAACCATCATGAAATAGTTTCTGATATGTTGCATGCATCATTCATGATACTGGTATGAGCTTTTCTCATCTCTTCTTAAGGACTTATATTGTAAGAAGAACTACGTTAAGATGATGTACGTACAGTTGTTCTAAGCGTAGTTTCGTTGCTTTTCTGTTTAGTTGGAAGAACAAGAAACCAGGGACAATTCGAAGTCGTCTATAGAGATGTTCTTCTACGTGAAGATGCCACGTGTCTGGGGTGCGATGATTAGGCTGGGCATGAAGCCAGAGAGCGTGGTCAGAGGTGTCCAAGAGATGCTTTCTGATTGTCGACAGGTGAAATATCGATCAAGAAATTGATTATGCTTCATCCAGACTTCTGAACGTTTCAACATAGTCATTTTAATAGAACTGCCTAATTAATACTTGAGAGCAAATCACAGTTATTCATCACTCAATTGTTTTTGCCTCTTTTTGAACAACTTAGGACTAAGAATTCCATTGAGAACATATTTTGACTTTGCTTTGAGAGATGTAAGTTGGTTTTACTGCAGGTAATTGACAATGTTGACTCAGTTGTGAAGGATAACACTATTCGAGCGATCGTACGACAGTTAATATCCGAAAGGGTTATGTCTGAAGCGGATGGAGAGCTATTGATCATCCAAAGGTATATTTCCTTATTTTTAATGTTTTTTAGAATGGAGTTTCACACTTTTTCTTCATAGGAATGAGCAGTTAAAGATGATCCAAGGTTTATCATATTTAACTCGTGACGATGTGCAACGACAAACTCAAGTTGCTGTGGTCCTCAGTGCCATTCAAGCCAGACATGTTATTGACAAGTTGTGGAATATGCAAGTAAGTGGAAGTCAACAGTTTTCGGTGGGGATTTTTGTTCTGGTTAAAAGCTTTAGACTTTTAGGAAAAATTAATGACTGTTCTTACACGACTCATTGGGAGTGGTGGCTATGCCTTTGATGCATTTTGCTCGTCATATGGTCTGGAGGGTACACTGGGAGAAATGAGTAGTAAGCTTGCAAGGCATGTGGTGCTGATGTAATTTTTAGCCGGTTTTTGTTAAATTTAATACGACTTTGTCTTTTTAGTCTGAATCTATTGTCGGAGTCTCCTTCAAATGTATGTGTAGATCGGAATATGACATTCGACTTGACATTTACTATGCTGACAAGAATCGTCTACAAATACAGTAATCTAGTATGTCTTGTTTTAAGGGACTATTTTTTAAAAAGTTCATTAGGACAGTGCGAGATTTCATGGTTTAGACTCTTGACGAGCTGGTAACGGACCCGAGAGGAGGACCCGATAATACAGCTTGTTCATTGTGAGTACCATTATGCTCATTGCTCTGTTATGGTTTACCTACTACATAGTTTAGCTATCAGTGGTCTTCTCGATATGTGAAGCGAATATCTTCTCATGCTCAGGATGCATCCGAGAATGAACTGTTTTTCATTCCTCTGGAGCTGAAGGCAGCTTATAAAGAAAGAGTCCTACGGTTGAAAGAACGCCAGCTTTTCTGGGATCCTATCAAGTAAGTTTTTTATTGTTACAAAATAGTGGTATTCTAGTAAAATTTTGTAGCAAAGAAGCAACTGTCCATTTGATTGTTTCTTTATCTTACGTAGTATTCACATTCATGTTTTGTTCCGACGGTTTGCCACCTCTTCGTGGCTGAGAGGTGTTCTTATTTGTCGGGCTGCGTGTACAGCAGGGGGATGAATCCCCCAGCAAAGTCTCCCAAGCTGAGAAGGAGTCAAGCGTTTCCATTAGGAAAGCTTCGCTAAGAGTGTACCAATACAAGAATCCACCACCGTCCTGGTATCAAAATAGGCGCATGGGGGTAATCTCCCTCTGATCCACAAGAGCGGCGACTGCCTGTGGTGGTGACGACATGGGGCTGAATTTGGCCAGGCTGGCTTCAGGACTCCAGAGATCCACAATTTTTAAACTAGCAAAACTCCGAAACAGTGGACATTATGCTGGGTCCCGCACAACCACGGGGTATCCAAGTAGGTAAGCGCGTAGCACTCTGTAAAATTTAGAGTTATTGTTGCCAGAGAATCTACACTCTATATTACGCTATAGCACTTACGCCGTGGTTGTTGGTGTCGTTTACTTCTTCATTTGGCAGATGCAATTATGGTCAGTTGCTCCACGAGATGCCGATCGTTGGCGAAGTGATATTGGATTTGTTTAAGGAGAGAAAACATATCGAAGAGGATGTATCAGTTAGTTTTGCTCCTTCATATTATCGTTCCTATATATCTGATGTATAAAAACTCTGTTTAGCGTATATTTGCTGCATTCAGAAAAGCTAATTGTTTATTAATTTGTATCATTCAATGGTTGGAATGTCAGGTAGGTCGTCAATTTATGGCATTCGATCAATTTGGTTTTGTAGTCGTTGAAGGTATAACTCTTAACGTGGTTATTAGCTAATTAAAAATGTAACTAATTTGTATTGCTTTCAATCATTCTTTTTAATGCGATCAAATGGCATGGAGAGTTGTTAATCCATTTATCTTTACTCAATAGCCTCGTAGAGATAAATGCCTTTAGAGATATAGGCAGTGTTCTTTGGTTATAAAGTGATTTTATTACAACTCAAAAGGCCGGCTTTCTATAAGCATCGGCATAAATAATCGAAGTGTCGATGTATATATGGTCTTCCGAACTGCCCTTGTTGATCCGAGGTTTGTAGTTGTCGCTGAAACGTCAGGCCACCGAAAAAAACTTTTTGGGGCAGGGTTTAAACTTTCTGTTAAATTGTGCCATTTTTTTTGTCATTTTAGCCTTCATCCGAAGCAAGGCGTCAAATGGCCCGTTGTATTAAGATGGTACTGGAAGAGAGTGTTCCAGATGAGAAGGATGAGAAAGACAGGTACTCTCTTCAGTTGTCAGTGTCATCGCCTAATTTTGTATCTGTAATCATATATTTTACCACATGCACTACCGCGCATAGTTTTGTGTGCCTGTCCTTATGTCTAGTCGCGGTGTGGATTGAAATACGGTTGGTTTTTCCCACTCCCTCCCTCTCCAGAAAAACCGAAAGCAGGCTTCTTTATTGTCCTTTTCGCGCTAGAATCTGATTTTTACACCCATTTTTTCATTCTTGTGGTTTTTTATGCTACTTTGCGCATCTTCTGTATTCTTCAGTGTGTCTATGATTTTGAAGCAGTTCTTTTGTGGTGAAAAAAAACATCCACCATGCAGCCATATTGATCTCCAGTTTTGCTAGGGTATGTGAGTGTATTTCACTGTAAAAAAAATTAAAAAAGAAACTCATCTATCTTCAACCACGATAGTGTAACCCTTCGATACCATTTTGTACGACATGTGAAATATATCCCACTGTTTCTTCTGCGTCTATTTTATATATCCGCTGATCTTGAATACCTTACCTTTGAATTATCAATGCGATTAGAGTTTAAACAATCCGTTATTGGGCAAAAACTAAGTCGAATAGTCTGTCGGCGGCCAATGATTGTTCCTCATTTCCGTTTGACTGCTCACTAAAGTGGTCAAAAAGGCATTGATTTCAGTGGTTGAAATATGTGACTTCTCGTGTGCTGCCTATGAAAAAATCTAAGGGATGTGAATCGGAGGATAAAGACGGGGATGACTCCGATATCAATGACGATGGTCGGGCGACATGATGCGTGGAGTTGTCTCCATTTTCAGTGCAGTGAACCTACTGCTCCCGCTTGGATGGACAAAGCGAGTACACTTTTATGAATGTATTATGGCTAATATCTGGCGAGGCGACTTCTTATGGGAGAGTCCAACTGATGTGGACAAAAGATTTATGATCTGTTAGACAGAAAAATTCGTGACATGATGAAAAAGTTGAGTGTTCTGTGCTTTCAGATTACAGTTGCTGAATGCACTATGATAAAGGGATTATCGGATTTTTTTTTCAGTTTTTCTATCTGATCTTGATCCAAAATAATGATCACGTATAGTGAAATGCTACTGTCTCACTTTTTCTGGCTGACAATACAACGTGTTATAATCACAATTTTAACATATTATTTCCTGCCTACTCTTTTTTAATGGCAGGATATATTGCGAAATATAACTACTATAATGCTGAGATATTTGCAAAACTCCGGAGCGCAGGTGTCTACGATGGGGAACGAACGCGCTATTGTCCTTTCCGGGCAGTAACGCGTTCACCACCACACCATGCGGGTCCTTCGTTTCGCGTGTCTCTCAGCTAGTTGCCGATTTGGGCCCTCCAGATTATTCCCGCTGACGTGCGATTGCTGTGGCAAAGTTCGATAGAACTATCTGAGAGACAGGAGAAACGAAGGACTCGCGTAGTGTGGTGGTGAACGCGTTACTCCCCGGAAAGGACAATAGCGCGTTCTTTCCCCACCGCAGACACCCGCGATCTGGAATTTTGCAAATATCTCAGCATTATAGTAATACAACGTGTGTTGGACGTTGCAAGCTGTTCATGAGCAGTTCATTTATGGATCCTGGTGGCAGAAGTTACAAAAGAGTAGGCAGATTGTTTTCCGTAAATTTAGCAAAGTTGTAATGCTGGTAATTTTATGTAAATTTGGGGCGAGAAGTCTGTGTAGAACAATTTCCTGGTCACTATGATTGTGGGTAATATGTAACAGATGTACATTCGAAGAACTTTATATTTTAACATGAATTTTTTTTTGAGAACGACATCTAGAACATCAGTGAAAGATTATGAGAGTATGAGCTAAATGATATGTGATGTTTCCCTCTGGTTCGATTCATCCATATTGATGAAAGCGCTCTCTGTTCACACATAGTCCTTCTGCATACAGCGTTTGTAATATATACGTTTCTTCAGTGATTCACAGTATTGTGCTGGTGTTCCTAAGTTTCGTACCTCTGTGTACCAACACAACAGTGATGTTTGAAACACGCCGCTGCGGAATTAATATGAGATCAATAGATTCGTTAGAAATTTTTTTCCAAATTATTGAACGTAAAGAAAAGCTTTTCATGGAATACGCCTGTTACGAAAGCTGTATCAGGAAATGTTTTTGACGGAATGAAAAATTCTGTCCAATAGCTTCCTGTGGGAAAATATCCGGGAAGAGTATGCTTTCGAACTAATAGATGCAGCTTATTCATTGGTATCAATGCATGCAGTCCATTGTTGATTGAAACTCTACATTGAACCACTGGGACATGGCACCACTTACCTCCACACAAACCTTGGTTTGTTCTTCGTGCCAGTCCCATTTTAATAAGCATCCTTCTAGTGGAAATGAATGAACTCGTATAATGCATTTGATACCTTAACGGCGACAGGTATTTTCTTTAATCATACTTGGATGTGTTTTAGGTGGCTCTTTACGAGAATGGTATGTCGAAGACAGCTGGACGAAATGTGTGAGTGCGATTCAATTATTCCTCCAATGACCATTACATTAATGGCTATCGCAAAGAGGTCATTTCCGACATTGCACAGAAGACAGGTATCAGGAAGTTTTTTTCATATACTTAGTTGTTTTTTTAGACGATTTTCTAGTCCGAGTTTCTTTTACCTTAATATGCTGGTATACTTTTAGATACCTGATAAGGAAATGCTAAAGAAAGCATGGCTTTATGCTCAGAGGCAAAACTGGGCAAGTCCTAATGTACTACGCCTTATCGATCATTGTAACAGAGCTGGAGCGCATAAGTCATGGTTTGAGGCAAGTTGCTGGGAAACATTTCACATCTCATGAGGGTTTCCAGCCTTTTTTTGCCCATTGAGTTTTTTTTCTGAAAGGTTTATCCACTGGCTTGTTTTTGGTTGTTTGTGGGTGTCAAGGGTTGGATGTGGAATTACACATGTGGTTCTAGTGTTGATGAGGGCATTGACCCACTTTGTGGGTGGATTCTCGTGAAACAACTGTGCTTTTGTAGTTGCTAGTCGAAAATAGGCCTTCGAGTCAGTTCTCGGCACCCAGTAATCACTAGCTTTTAGCAGAATGCTCGACTTCGTGAATAAATGCCACGCGGGACTTTTCGTAGTAGTCACACGGCAATACCTCAAACTTGGGTAATTAAACCTTTATATACATAAATGCAACAATAATAACATAATAGTAACTATAGAGAAGTAGTGGTAGAGGAATGAGACAAGTTAGAGCTCTGAGGTGCTAAGGCCTGTAGTGAAGTGAGGCTAACAATGAGGCAATAGCATTCAAACATTGTAATACCATTAACACAATATTAACAATAATAATGAGATTATAACGAAGTAGCCTTTGCTTAACCGTAAGCGATGCCGCGCCGCGTCTATGCGCGGCCGGCGCGGCGGCTGAGGGAGACAGTATGCTGGGGGCGGAGGGAGGAGACTGTATGCCGCGGAGATGGAGACAGTATGCTGAGGTGGTGAGGGTTACAGACTGTCCGTGTTTCGGCCAAGCTAAGATTTCAACATTATAGCGATGAGGAGCATTTTAATTGATCGATGAGGACTGTAAGTTACATGAGTGTTGACGGTGCTATGGACAGTGAATGATGAGTCATCTACGGAACTCAGTCAGGCGGCTGGTCGTGAATAACGCTATGTCAGCAACGTGAACTTTGAGCATCGATGGGTGCCACCATTGCCTAAGGGTAAGGGCCAGTATGATAAGTGGCTACGAAACTGATAAGCCTATAGCGGCTTAGCAGAATACATAGCTTATGGTTCGCCG